GCGAAATCGAGATCCTTGTACAACAAAGATGGAGGCTGACGAGGCTGCTGGCATACCCGAGGACCCAACGTCGCGTGAGATTCAAAGATCTTGTACAGTACCGAGGTACGCTCTCCCGTGCTGCGATCGTTGTGATCGCTCGTACTTATTCGTCCGGAAGCTCCAGAGGCTGACTCGACTCACGCAGGACGGATTCGAGTTCCGGATCAGGAAGCAGTTCCTGAAGAAGAGGAAACGTTCTAGTCCCAGGCCTAACACTGCGTTCGAGGCAAGTTCTCGCCCTTCTCCAAACATCGATATTTCTCACCGTTCTCAAGTATTCCGTTCTCGAGTAACTACGACGTACCTGCTCACATTGTTCTTGCCTACACATTGCATTCATGGTCGACAATTCTTTTCGATTATCCAGGGAGAGCACGAGCTCTTCAATGAGATTTCATGCTGCGGGTGGAATGCCACCTGCATGATGTGTTTACTATATCGCCGGATGGAGGGTCTAGATCAAGCAGCCTGTTTATCTGATTACAAGATCGTTGGTGGTAGTAGCCGGATCGGCACATGACGCACTCCCATCCTGAGTTGAACGTTCCCACAGTTGCAGCTACAATATCATGTCTTTGGTCTGCCGAACGGCTGTGTCTGGCAATTGACTTTAGCAACTCATTGCGATAACAATCCTGATGGCTGATGTACAGCTTTCAGGACAGCTTCACATCTTCAGGACAGCTTCACATCTTGACTCTCTCCTCCACCTTCCCAGATGAAGACGAATGTCTATGCACTGAAAACGCAGCGTCTTATTCTCTTCTTTTGTCTCATTGGTGCCGTTCATGCGGCCGACTTCGATACATGCCTCGCGGAAATCAAACGCGGGGATTGGGGCCTTACGGGAGGCACAGACAACGCTGGGAACCCTATAGCCAATATCTCGGAGGCCAAGTCTATCACCTACGAGCTGTGCGCGGTTGCATGTGGAGCAGGCCCGGAACCGTTCCAGTGGAACACCTTCTCGCAGCAATTCAGCGCATGGCTCCTGCCCTATCTGGCTCTCGTGGCCCAGCTGCCCTTCGGGGCCACGGACAACTTTGACAACGTCATGAGTGTTGTGCTGTCGGTCGGATCACCAACCTTGGCCGCATATTCTCTTGCGTTGACCGTACTCAATGGACACTGGATAGCCCGGCGCTTTTCGTCTGTGGAGAAGTATCCGAATGCCAAGCAGGCTGTGCAGGTGCTGAGTCGCCTGCAACAGTCCCCATTGCTTGTGACCGAGGATTATGGGCTGCTCGCGTCGCTCGTGATTCTGCCACAGAACGACCGGTGGTGGGCCGAGCTTGTTGAATTGCTGGAGTACACTCACACGTGGAGCATCTCGTCTGTGGCCTCTATCATCTGGGTTTCCATCGCATATGTCTTTACGGTGATCGACTCGTTCACGGGTGAGCACGCCCAGCTGGTTTGCAGCGATCGATCTCTGACCCCCCACTTAGGCACGATTGTGTCCTCGACTCTCAATGCTAACGGACAAGGCGTCGGATCTGCATATTTATGGCTCCTGCCAGTTGTGATAGGTGGCCTTTTCGCTGCTTTGTCGGTTCTTCTCGGAAACTGAATCCTCCTTGCACAGGCTGGCTCCAGCTAGGCCCAAAATGCAATTCTGTTCGTCTCAGGGGCGCTGTGAATCGAGCTAATGCTGAGGCATATCTTGCCTCCGATCAAGGACGAGCCGTTCTGGCTGAGGACATCACTCCTGATCGCGCACTTTCTCTGGCACCGCGAATGGGCTCTGTTCGACGAGACGAGGTACCGTCATTTCTCCACTTTGTGAGACAACCGATGTCTGAGCAGCGTGCAGATGTGTAGCCCGCCTATCATGAACTACTCTCGTTGGTTAGCTTGGACACACTCGGTCGAAACGGTGTACGCCATCTTCGAGACAGCGACGGCCCGCAGCGCTCTGCATCAGTCGGTCGACCCTAATGTGCCGTGGACTAAGAATGCAGAGAGAGGAACTTCCGCCACAATCTCTCCAGTCAATCGAGAGGGGACGCTGCAACAGGTCACAGACTATGCTGTGCCGCTGCCCACCAGCGCCAGGAGCCATTGGGCACCTGGTGTCTTTTCTCGCTTCTTCGTTGCATCTCTGATGGCTCTCGGTCTGACCTGGAGTACGACTGGTGCTGCTGTGATTGTTGTTTGGTTCACCCCAACGCGAGGTCTGGGATGTCGATCGGGCGCCTATCTTCTGTACGGCGCGTTCTCCACGCTGATCTGGATTCTGCTCGTTCTTTCCAGCTTTCTGGCGCATTATTCGGCCCAAAGACCCAGCCGCTTTGACGACGGCGGCTTCCCCATCTACTCACGAGCGTCCCGGATTGCTGCCACACTTTCCATCGTGCTTCGCCGAGTCGGCAAAGTACTTGCCGCCTGCAATGCGATATGGATCGTCGTGGCCTGCATCTTCCAATTTAGTTCGTTCTTCGACCGGTGTTACTGCAACAGCAGCGTGCTTCATTTTGGATACAAGAGGGCATACGATGTGATCGACTTGGTCGCGTCGGACATCTCGACCATGAAAGTGGCCTGGGCGGGTGGTGTTGCCATGGCTCTGTCAGTGCACCGCATATCCTATTATTGACCAATGCTAACTATCCGACGCAGAGGGTTTTCTTTCTTATTCATCTTGTTTGTCAATATTTATATTAATCCTCCCCTGGCTGCGACGTAGGTGTTATTAACTATTATTCATGTACATTACTGTATATACTACGCTCGAATAGCCCTGAGTCGCGTCTTGAGATCTCTCGTCTGTTGACTGCCTCGTCCTTTTGATTTCCCAAAGACAACGACGGTGCCCCGGGATCCGGCTCGGCCGGTCCTCCCAGCCCGATGCAGAAAGTCGATCATGTTTCTCGGACTTTCGACGATGAAGACATGCTCGATAAGAGGCGAAAAATCAAGGCCGCGGGAGAGCAACGATGTCGTTATCATCACATGTGGCACGTTCATCGGGTCGTTGAGAACCGGAGTCACCTTGGCAATCGCTTTCGTCTCGAGTTCGGTCTCATCAGCTGGAACGGCCCGTTTCTGGGCTTCAGGCTTCAAGAATCCCAAGAGGTGCTTGTTACTGCCCCGCGATCGGTTTTCGCTAGAGCTAGACAGAGTGATCGTCTTGATACCCTTTTCTTCGAGGAAAGTCCCCAGCGCCTCGACCTTGGTGTTTCGGTTACAGAACACGAGCACTTTGCTCATGTCGCCAGTGCTACCAGGTGCAGGCCCCCGCCCCTGGCCCGCATCGTCGGCCCATACTTGCCGAAGGCGTCGCTCAATGTCAGATAGTTTGTTTCCTCCCGTCCAAGGAACATGCTCAATCTGGAGCGATTTCGGAAGCATGTGGAGATTTGGAGAGATCAGTCTTTGCATGCGGGGATGATATGTGCTGAGATACGTCGAGAGCCCAGCAGGAATCGTGGCCGAGGTGAGAAGGAAGTTGAACGGGTAATTCAACGGATTCGCTGCTGGAGACTTGGCTTTTGTCGCAAGGGCTTTGCTGGCGTGAGGGACCGCCTTGGACGTCGCGAGCAAGTCGATGGGAAGTGGCGTAAAGGCAACTTCTTGACCGCGAGCCTTGGAGATCTCAGCCAGCAACATCCGGGTCGTTTCCTGAAAGTCGGAGTCTAGAGATATTCAGCACAGAATAGGCGATCCATAATAACGCAGCAGACCAAATAGCACATCCGCCTCGTCAACGACAACCCACTCGATTTGGGAGAGGTCGAGTTCTGGGCGAGACTTCCACTGTCCAAAGCCAGGTACGTTATCCCTGCCGCGGCGAAGCCTGGGACCTCTTTCGCCAGGCTTTGTGTCCGATTCCGAAGCGCCGCCCCCCAGTTGAACCTCACGGTCCCATCCTCGACCGAATACCATCTCCATGATTTTCATGGGAGTTCCGACCAAGACGTCTGCAGGCGCAGATGTAGACAATTCTTTTTTGAGCACTGAGAATTGAGAGTCGGCCTGCGCCGAGGCAGCGAGAAGCTCGGCTTTCATCCGGCTAGCGCTGTTCGTCTTGGCAATACTCGCTCCATCGATGTTCGCCCGGGAAACGCATTTCACTCGGAGTTTGATATCGTGAACAAGTGACTTGGCGGCGCTGCTGAGCTGGCGAGCGAGTTCGTGTGTCGGCGCTAAAACAAGCGCTCGAGGACCCGACGGGACTGTCTTCAGGCTGGACATGCGGGCGCTATATACAGGCTCACTAAGCTTGAGAGACTGCAGCAGGGGAAGAAGATAGGCAAAGGTTTTGCCAGACCCTGTTTCAGAGGCAAGGAGATATTCCGAGTATTCGTGAGCCGCGCTATCTGTCGCCGGCACCAGAGAGTCAGACGACTCCAAGGGTGGCGTCCAGGGTTGGAGTACCCATTTCAAGCTGAGGGCCTGGATCGGAGTTGGGGGTAGATTACCACCGCCAAGGACATCATTTAGACATTGATGCAGACCAGGGAGCAAAGGTGGCGAAGTAAAGCGTCTGGGAACGTCATGCTTCTCCGACATGGCGTCGCTATACGACTTCGAACCCGTTTTGGAGTCCGCTTTGACAATGATGGGAACGCCGGCATGCGAGAGATATTCAGGAGGATTGTAGAAAGCTGGGGGCTCGTCCGGTTCACGCCTGGAAGTCGTGCGACGAGGATGCGACGGTCTAGGCGCAGCAGCATCGGACGGGATGATCATGGGTGCGTTTCGATTCTTCAATGTCGGGATTGGGTCACGGTGAAGGTCTTCATCCCATTCCTCGTCGGAACGCTGTCTGAACGGCGGCGAAGACCAGCGTTGTCGGCTGCTCTCCCCACCATACGTGCGCGAATAGCTCCCGCGTCCAGGCGCATGAGAGCTACCCATTTCATTATCCCACTTTCCCTGTCTGCTCTGATCGCGTCCAGTCCATGGGCGAGGATATTGTCGTATGGGTGACCGTGCGTCGTACTCCAGTTGTTGTCCTTGGCTTTGGAATGAATCCGGCCTTGAATCTCGTGTAAATGCCGGACGTTGAGGCCGTCTTTGAGCTACAGAGTCGCCGTTTCAATATAGGCAAACTTAATAGACATGTCAAACACCTGTTGAGCCTGTGTCTCGTCGTACCAGATTCACGGCCGACGAGTGGAATAGCACATTTCGAACGCGGAAGGACACTTGCACTCGTGAAGATGGAGAAGCATGCAGTCGAACTGCAAGCTACGTATGTGCTTTGATAGAGCCCTAGAGGACGTCCTTTACAGTGAAGAACGGCCTGGAGAAAAGTTTGTCGCTAGTCTCGTGACATGCGCGTCAATTCGCGTCGCGTGACATTGTAATGCGCGTGACTGTCACCTTACGCGCGGCCTTTCGAGGTTCGAGATCTCACTCGTTCGTTCTTTCAAATGGCAAGCTGATCCAGTTTCATTATGCTGTTCATCTATAAAGATCTGCATCGAATAGGATATTGATCCCCTCGCCGATGCTGGTCCGCCTCGTCATGTTATCGAGTCTGATGAAGAGGAAGACGAATACAACCCTTTGCAACACACGAAGTCGCATCCCAGGAAGATCGAAATCCAGATACTCGGTGTCTCTGAGAGGCTTTCCGATGGGCTCGTTATCGCACAGGGAACTCTGGCGAAGTATTGGGCCCGCGCAGCGGATCTCCGGGAACAAGTTGGAGCAGTCATGGTGAACGGGATTCAAGTCAAGCTTCATGTTCTGATATCAATGTATATCTAACGCTCATCAAGGTTGGTCTCCTCTTTCGGCCAAGCTGGACGCGGACCACTGTCCTGGTCTCGGAGGTCACGACTCAACTGCCCATATGGGCGATGAATCAGTATGCTGCCTCCATACTGGACCAACTACAACCCCGAAAATTGGCCTTGCTGGATATTTATGTTGAACCTACGTATGTATCGCAGAAGCGTCTCGCGTATCCCGATGCAAATTTGCGCTACCTCTGCACGGAAACTGCTGCTGAATGGATGGTGAGTCTTCCGTACCTAGTTCACGAGCTTCGTCCGACTTTGGCCCACCCAGATTTCTGCAGCTGATTTGTTCTCGCCCCCAAACCTTGTCCAGTCAACTTCGGCCTCCTTTGTCGCGCAACAAGCCCAGCGAGGGTTGTCTGCAACCCTTTTGCTAGTCCCAGCTCCACATGTCCAGTTGGCCCCTCCTCGCGATCTAATCGAGAGCCATTTCTCGCATTGGGATGAAGATGGAGACCCATGGAACCCTATTCTTGTGTCCAGAGCTCATGAATTACTCTTCCGCTCGTTGGACGTGGACTGCCAACCATGGAATGCGCCGGGAGCCGTAAAGCCCAGTGCGAAACGAAGACGCCCTACTGACTCCGAATCTGGCATGTATATCTGAATTGTGACGTTTCAAATAAATAACATCACACTGAATACTTGGGCCGAACGATCGCCTCTAGCTCTTTGATGATAAGTGCAGAATCTCTGTCCAGATCAACGCGCCACGTGCTGATGGCAATTCGTGTCGCAGGCCGATTCTCCCATTGTGTTCCCGTTACATAGATCGTGCCGGCTGAGTTCAACCGCTGAACTAGATGTGAGTTCAGGTCAGATGCCCGCGCACGGAACAAGACGATAATATATATGTTTGCGGCCGACGTGTGGCGGGGCAACAGCTCGTAGTCGCTCGATTGCGAAATGTATTCCGCTACTTTTCGTGCAAGCGAGATTTGGCGCTCCAGCAGGTCACGATACCAGTCTCGGCCGTAGGCCACGAGTGTAGCGTACACTGGCAGCGCGCGCAATCGTCGGCTGTTCTCGATGCCGAGGTTGTGAGCGGAGGGTACAGCCTCCGAGAGATCGGGTGGTAGGGCAGATCCGTTCTGGAACACCTGTTTCTGAATTCCGAGATGACGGGTGAAAAAGAAGCCGCAGTCGTATGGGACATTGAGCAGTTTGTGAGCATCTCCTGTGATCGAGTCCGCGAGATCAAGCGCAGCCACTCCAGCCATGATAGAGGCATACTGCGGCTTGGATAGAAGCCGAGCTTGTAAACCGAAGGCTAGAGGCAGTAAGCAGACGCAACATTATCGTATAGCACAAACCAGCATCAACATGAACCCAAGCCCCGTATTCATCTGCCAGAGCACGGATTTTTTCCATATCATCTCTTGTCGTCGCAAAAGCTCCGGCGTTAACCTCTCCTGCACTGACAGATATGATGCTTGCGATTCCCCGTTTGGATAGATGCTGCTCCAAGGCATTCAGGTCAAGCCGCCAAGGCTCTGCCTCACTCAGCGGTAACAAGATGACATTGTCAGTGCCCAGGCCGACGATGGATGCCGCCTTAGCCAATGAAGAATGCGGCATTGAGGAAAGCACTCGGATTCGCTGGACCCCCGCGCGCAAGCAAGCTGGGATCAGGCCCTGTTGGGCAATACTGGCTTGAGTTGCCGATGCTGAGAATCGCATCCCAGAGATCTGGACAGAATATTCGCGTCCGAGAGCGAGACCAAGGGTATTGGATGCCGTGGCACCGGACGTGAAAGTCCGTCCGGTAAAGATACTTGCATCGATATCAAGCAATTGCTGCAACATTCTATGGGACTGTGGGAACTAGACTCATCATCGACCTAGAGGTGAAAAGCACCTCAAAGCAGCATCTTCTACATTCCCAGCGATGCTTTCTGTCGGCGCGAAAGTTTGCACATTCTGATCGAACGCGCTTACAAGCCAGTCGGCGTACAAAGCTGCGTCTGTCGTTCCGCCAGTGACAAACCCATAGTAATTGGGATTCACGCTTTCCCTATTCAATGCAGGCGCAATATCTTCGAGCAGGTGCTTCCTAATGAGATCTAAGCCCAAGCCCTGACTAGGGAGTGAGGATGGGAGGGATCGTTCCGCGCGGAGGATGGCCTCAGCAGAAGGTAGAGGGGAGATAGATCCGACATCGAGATCAACAGAGGCAGCAAAATCAGCAAGCATATTGAGACTCATCGTTATCGGATAAGCCGAACAGTTCAACTGAGGTTGAAGTTGAGGCCTGAGGGTTGCAAGTAGGCAGTCGAGCTTGAAGCGAGATACCGGCGACCGCATCATGGAAGCCGCTGTCAAAATCACGCGTCAGTGGCTTGCCACGTCGTGATCCACAGCTCACTCTCAGACTCCAAATTTCTCTCCCTTCCTTCCGCCACGATGAGCGGCTGTATGTTCTCTGTTCTCTCAGTCCACACTCTACTTACAACGCTCGGTTTCAGTTCGGTTCCTCAACCTCGTCCGGCCTTTCCTCCCGATTTTGCCTGAAGTTGCCTCTCCAGACCGCAAGGTACGTCAGTTTCTATCCACTCATTTGCCGACCTGACACGCTCTTGAAGGTCCCGTTCAACCAAAAAATCCTATGGACGGCTGTGACGCTTCTTATCTTCTTGGTTTGCTCGCAAGTGCCGTTGTACGGTATCATGTCGTCTGACTCCTCCGACCCGTTGTACTGGATGCGTGTCATCCTGGCCTCCAACCGTGGAACGCTCATGGAGCTGGGGATCACACCTATCATCACTTCGGGAATGATTATGCAGCTCCTGGCTGGTGCCAACTTGATTGACGTCGACTTTGGGCTCAAGGAGGACCGGGCTTTGTTCAGCGGGGCACAGAAGCGTGAGTCGTGTTCCTACACTGGTATCTACTGCTATCGAGACTGGGGAGCGGTGCCGGTCTCAGAGTGTTCTGCACTCGTGTCGTGTCGGAATGCAGGCTTTGACAGCTGACACGTATTCGCAGTTTTCGCTCTCATCATCTCTCTCGGTCAAGGAACCGTCCACGTCCTCACTGGTCTCTACGGACAGCCCAGCGAGCTCGGCGCTGGTGTCTGCTTGCTCCTGATCATTCAGCTCGTCTCCGCCGCGATGATCGTCATTCTACTCGATGAGCTACTCCAGAAAGGCTACGGTCTGGGATCCGGTATCTCCCTCTTCATTGCCACCAACATCTGTGAATCGATCGTCTGGAAGGCGTTCTCGCCTACCACCGTCAACACCGGACGTGGTCCCGAGTTCGAGGGCGCCATCGTTGCCCTCTTCCACTTGCTATTCACATGGAACGACAAAGGTCGTGCGCTGCGTGAGGCTTTCTGGCGAGACCGACTCCCCAACGTCATGAACCTCGTTGCGACCGCTGTGATCTTCGCCATTGTCATCTATCTCCAAGGCTTCCGTATCGAAATCCCGGTCAAAAGCAACCGCTTCCGTGGTCAGCGTGGCTCTTACCCCGTGAAGCTGTTCTACACTTCCAACATGCCCATCATGTTGGAGTCGGCTCTCACTTCCAACGTCTTTATCCTCTCCCAGATGCTTGCATCCCGCTACCCGAGCAATCTCTTGGTCCGTCTTCTCGGTGTGTGGGAGGTGCGTGATGAATTCAGTGACTATTTTCGCATGTTAACTGTCACTCCAGCCCATGCAAGATTCTGCTCAGCTCGTTGCCACTTCTGGTATCGCGTACTATATGTCCCCTCCGCACACCATGAAGGAGGCTATCGTTGACCCGATCCATACTGTGATCTACATCGCCTTCATGCTCTCTGCCTGTGCTTTGTTCTCGAAGACCTGGATTGAGGTTTCGGGTTCTGGCCCTCGCGATGTAGCCAAGCAGCTCAAGGACCAGCAGATGGTATGTCTATCACTTTTTGCGGGCATATTACACTGTGTATAACTCAACTGTAGGTTATGGCCGGACACCGGGAGGGTTCCATGTACAAGGAGCTCAAGCGCGTGATTCCAACTGCGGCTGCTTTGGGAGGAGCGATCCTCGGTTTGCTCTCTGTCGCTGCGGATTTGATGGGTGCGATTGGTAGCGGGACTGGTATCCTCATGGCTGTCACCACCATCTACAGCTGTGAGGTTCTTTGATCTCCGCCCTGTTTGGCTCTGATCCGTTTCCAGATTGGGAGATCGGCATGCGTGAATCTGGTGGCCCTGAGATGGCTGCACTGGGTGATTTGCTCTAAATGCCTACCGCTGCAGGATGAACATGCCGACTGAGGACTGGATGGGCGGCAAAAAAGCTGGGTGTAGCCAGCTGCATTGCATTCGTATCGATAACATAAGTACAGTACAAGTATTAAGCATAGCTGGGTCTCTCGTTTCCACATGTCGAAGCTGTGTTGAAAACTTGACTGTAAACAAGCGTGCGTGCCTGAGGCTCAGCCGGCCCGCAATGCTATCAATACTTGGCCTCGAACATCTGCATCGATGCTAACCACTTGCCAATGCTTGCAACGTATAAACGGGCTGTCGCCGCCGCTTCGGCTCTCGTCAGTTTCCCCCCCTCACGATGTCGTCTAGCACGGTCAGACCGACGGACCTTGCCTCTATAAAGAATGCTCCTCTACTGGGACTGGCGGAGGGGATTGGCTCGTTCTCCAACCTCCATCTGGCGGGGCTCGTGCTAGTTGTCCCGTATGTCGCGAAAAGCTTGTTACCTCTGGTCAACCGTGGGGGCCTCAAGACGTACCTTTTCCTTCTGCTGCTGACGGGTGTGCCTACCACTGTTGGGTACTGGATGATTATGTCCAACTACGAGAAAGAACGAGAAGGTCCTTTTTCCCGGCAAGGACATTGAGGACTATATCACCCTCAAGGATCCCAAGCTCAAGGCACTGTATAGCGGCAAGGCCAAGATATCAATACAAGTGTTCCATGACGCTTATTTCGACGGCAAAATCGATGTTAAAGGTGTGTGTCGTTACCGAGTTATGTGTCTCGAAAGCGCAACCATTAGGAGACTGACGTTTCCATTGCAAGGCGATATCGTTGATATCCTGGAGCAGCGTCATGACTGGGCCAAGTTCAATTTTACTCTCGAACTATTCAAATATGTGTTCATGAACCTGCTGCCTGAGGTTATCATCCACTCTCAGAGTCAGGACGAAGAGCAGGTGCGAGACCATTATGACAGGGGCGATGATTTCTACGAATGGTGTGTGCTTGACACCGACCTGTTTCCTTCGTCCTTTGAACCCTGACACAGGTTCCTCGGTCCGCGTATGATCTACACGTCGGGCGTGATTCTTTCTCCTGAGACGTTCGAGTCCCTGGAAACTTTGCAGGATAACAAGCTCGCCATTGTGTGCAACAAGCTCGACCTTCAGGCCACTGACCGCTTGCTGGATGTGGGCTGCGGCTGGGGAACGCTTGTTGCATATGCAGCCAAGAACTTCGGTTGTGATGTCACTGGTGTTACGCTTGGGAAAAACCAGACCAAGTTTGGAACGCAGCGCATCGCGGATAATGGTATCGCGGCTGACAAGGCTCGCATTCTCTGCTGCGACTATCGCGATATCCCGCGAGGCAAGGGCGTGTATGATAAGATAGTCAGTCTGGAAATGGCCGAGGTCTGTCTTTTTACTGTTCTGTTTTTGTATGCATGGTGTGAAGTCCTCTGCCAGCACGTCGGAATCCGTCGTTACTCTGCTTTCTTGGAGCAAATGTACGAGTTGCTCAGCGATGACGGCATCTTCGTGTTTCAAGTGGCCGGGTTTCGGCCGGGATGGCAGTTCGAGGACTTGATCTGGGGACTTTTCATGAACAAATACGTCTTTCCTGGAGCTGATGCATCTGCCTCGCTCGGCTGGGTCGTCACCAAGGTATGTAATGTAGCAAGGCACTGGCACGTGCTACATAGCAATTTGCAGCTAACGTACTGCAGCTCGAGCAGGCCAACTTTGAAATAAAATCTATCGACGTCCTCGGTGTCCACTATTCTGCGACAATCTGGCGATGGTACCTCAATTGGTTGTCCAACAAAGATAAGGTAGTCGCGAAGTACGGCGACCGCTGGTTCCGCATTTGGGCGTACTTCCTGGCCTCTGCGACGATCTCCAGCCGGTGCGTACATGTCCTCTGCTTTTTTTTTCATCTATGCCAACCACTGCAACAGACAAGGGACTGCTTCCGTCTTCCAGTTCGTCCTGCACAAGAACCTGAATGCTTACCATCGCGTTCTCGGGGTCGCCAATCATGGAGGCATCCAGGTCAAGCTCGGCCAGGAACCCCAGTAGGCATATCGCTCCTGATGCTCCCCATTTGATGCTGACGCCACCCTAGACTGATTCTGTGAAACCTGGGAAGATTTACAACAACCTACTTACTACTGGTGATATCTACTATAAGATGTGTACTGTATAGAGGGTATCTCAGCGTGGAAACGCGCCAGGGATAACTTGTCTTCTCCGCTCTGGATGATGGAAGTATGTACCGTACCGTGACAGTCTGGACGGCGAGGTGTTTGGACTGGAACTCACACCGGCTCCAAGCACTGAATCGTTGGCGTTGGTTTCGGCCAATGATGGGACTGAGTTCTCCAGCCCCCCTTGTTGAGTCCCATAGTCATCTTCATCGCTGTCCTCTTCGTCTTCCAGCAGCCAATCCTCATCGTCCGGGAGATTGATCACACCCGAGGCAGGATCGAAACTGAGACGATGACTGAGCGGAGCAGATGTCCGTCGCGGCTCGGCCTGCCATGGGTTGCTGCTGCTCGGCCCAGATGTTTCACTAGGCGCAGTAACAGACTCGACCCCATCCTCGATGACCTCGCTCTGCGTCCGTCGGCGAGCACTGGCCCGCTTGCGGAGAGTGAGTACAACGGCCTGTCCGTTGTTCTCTTTCGGTTGGCGACCTGCCATGCTGCGTGGGTCGTTGCTCGTGGAAAGGATCTGGCCCTTCTTCAGTGGCAGCCATGGCTGGGGCAGCACCCCATTCAATGCTGGATGCGCATATCGTCTCTTGCCGGTGCTGTAGAGAAACAATGAGGACTGGTTGAGAAAAATATTCACCAGACGCACTTCAGCACTCCCTGGTACCAGTTCGTCATGGGTGGTTGCGACTGAGGCCGTTAATACATTTCGGAAGCAGCCTTGGGGGAGAGACATACATAATCGGTGCGTTCATCCTCGGGTGCGACGTAAAGAGTGTCATCATTCTGAGCATATCTTCTCTTATTAAGATTGCTAGAGCAGAATAATCAGCGCCTGAGCGGTGACCAACGACAGTCCCAGACCTTTGGGACCACGTGACTGGATGACCTTCATGCAAGCGAGCCACATCAGCTGACTCTTGGCCGCGCTCGACTTCGTGCACAGAACTCAGACCCACAAAGTCGCTGAGGGGCTTGAACTCCTTCTCGATGTACCACGACCAGAGGACTGTGCCGGCGAGGAGCGGGATCAGAAGGATTGTGATGATGTACGACAGCTTCGAGCTTGCGTAAGTGTTTTGGAGCAAGAAGAAACCAGTCATAAACGTCAGGAAGATCATGACACCCCAGATCAAGCGCACAAAGGTCAGCGGCCACGCTTGACCTTGTGATTCGTATGGCTTGTAGAAGACTAGTGGAATGGATCAGCACCCTTGATGCACAAAAACCAAACTAAGCGACCGACCAAACAGAAGTTTGTATTTGTAGACCACATATGCCACGCCAAAGTAGATGGCTCCGAAAATGAGAATCAAGGGCTGTGTCACGCTGTAGAGCATGGTGATGACAAACATGAGGATCGATTGAGGATATACGATCCCATAGTTGATCATTGGCGGTGCGTTCAGCTCGGCGAAATCTACGTTGCTGTTGAAGCTGTGCTGAATGGAAGCCAGATAACATACCCCGTGGCGTGCGTGTCACAAACAGACGGAAGAATCGGGGAATCGTCACACCCAGATTCAACAGTTGAAGCGGCATGATACCAAGCCCTTGCAGAATGACATATGAAAGGAAGAAGTTACGAGCTTTCCCGGCCTGGAGCGCCTTGGCCAACTTTTCTGGGATTTTGGCAGGGAAATTCGCCAGCTCATAAACCAATTGGAGGTAAGTAGACGCCAATAGGAAGATGAACACGACATTGATGAGGAGGAATAGAAAATACCTGAAGCAATAGGTTAGCGCATGAGGAACAGGACCGACAAAGGAGCACTTTTTCAACAATGAATATTCGATCCAACTACGTGCTCGATAGCCTTGCTGATAAGTCAAGGCTGAAGTTTCATGAGGACACACGCAAACAAACACAAAGGATCACCAACCTTCGAGGAGGAAAGGAAGAAACGCATTGAGGGAGATCACACCAACTGATGGCAGCGAGTTCTGCACGATGGCCCGTACTTTGTCATTGCTGTCAATCAGCCTCCCGAGCCAGGGCATCGTCTTCTTGATCTCAGTGTAACTGAGCAGACTGGCAAGCGCCGTGATTGGGAAGATCCACGAGAAGAAGAGGAGCACGATCATGCCCAGAACGAATACGTCGCGAGTCTGAATGTTCAGCTGTGATGGCGTCATGTTAGACCATACGATATCACGGGGCTCGGGTGCTGGATACGTCTTGCACCGCAACGGTGCTGAGGCGTGAACGACTTGAAGCGCGACTTGTGCAGACGACATCTTCTCAAAAGTCACGAAAGCAACAGGCGTAGCTTTGAATTTTGCCAGACGTCGTTTTCGGACCTTCTCGTCGATGTCTTTGAACTCCGTCTCAAGATACTCCAATGCATCCACTTTCGGTCCAAACCATCGTGGCCTTATCGTCGGTCTCGGTCGATGAGGCACCACCAGTCGTTGCTGCGGACCAGACTCGACATCCACCAGAGGACCTCCACTCGCTTCCGGGTCGTATTCCTCCACTGCACTCGGATTGCCAACGTAACTCGTCCAGGCGCTTTCGAGCGCCAAGAGAGCTTCCGTCCGTTTGTCGATAAGTCTCTTGAGAGAGCTAACCTCGCGGCACAGGGTAACGCTTTCAACGCTGAGATCCATGTTTTCGAAGTATTCGGCAAGAGCCCTTTCTCCAAGGAGATGCCGGGGAAGGTTTGAGACCATGACCGTTCTGGCAGGAATGGAGTGCACCAGCTCCAGAGAGTAAAGCTGGCGAGAACGAATGAATCGGCGATAATTTTTATAGATGAAGAAGAGCGCGAGGAGAGTGAAAAGATACGTGAATATGAGATAGAGGGACAGGTATGAGTTGGCTTCGCTGATCAAGTCGAGCCAATTCGATCCATCTGGATTGGGAACAGTTCCATTCGTGCTTCCATTCGGCGCGAAGGAGGCGATGCGGAACAATGGCCTATTGCTAAGTGTGCTGCCGAAAAGACTAGGCCAGTCGTCTGTGTCGTCGCCCCAGTCTTCGTCGTCACCTAGTTCCTTATTATGCTGGGGCAAAATACATTGTTATTACGATGTGCGCAGAGAATTGGAATCCTTACCATCCAGTTGATGGGCATCAAGATAGTCAAAGCAAAAAATGAGCAGACAGAGAAGAGTTTGAAGGCCATCTTGTAAAAGCTGAGCAGCACGGCGGCGTCGAGTCCAACGATCTGAAGGACGGTGAATTCCGAGGTGCGAATGGTGGGCAGAATCCATCCAAAGAAAGCTTGGTGAGCGTGCGCTTCATGAGGCGAGAAGCCTATTCGCGATAATTCAGGAAATGAGGCACAACAGTGGTGTGAGCACCAACCCTTGAGCTTCGTGCGCGGAGCGAATAGGATGGGCCACCGAGTTCGGCAATAGGAGAACACAAGGAAAGAGAACAGCCCTATCGTCCCAGACATGATGATCTGTGTTGTGAACCAGGGCCCTTCGAATGTCACTAGGAGTAGCAAGAAATAACGGGTATTGTTCAGAGTCACGGAATTGAGCATGATTGATGCTACGGACTCGTTGGGGGACTGCCTGGGGGCGGTCCATTTCGATCGTCGTCATCTGGGTTGTCGAGTAGAAGCCTCAAGAAGGATGAGGACCCCCAGTCCATGATGGTAGCCGTATAAGTGCGCGCACTACGGTGTGTTTGGTGACGCTTGATGGTACAGCATGATTTCGATACTAACCGACAGCTTCTTTAGCTCAGCTCATGAAGCTGTTCTCTAAACGAGGCATTCTTACCAGAGGGCGGCGACCCTTGTATGCTGCAACTCGAGTCTTCAATGCTTCCTCCGCTACTGCATCATCTGCCATAGCTAAATGCTGGATCCATACCACCAACAAGACGAACACTTTCAAAAACGGCCTTCGTAAGGCCTACTACTCAACCGGGACCAGTGGCTCTGACCCAAACACGGGCCCTGAACTTGGATCCGCTCTTCCTCTCTATCGTACGTTGGTTATTGTGAATTTGGATGTTGGTCGTCACTAACATCACGTAGAAAAAGTGATCAATGCCTGGAACGAAACACCTGTGAAATGGTACCCCATTCCTATTGCTGTCGGAGCATTGGTTCTTGTCGCTGTTCAATATCGTCGGAAGGCCCGTAAGGAGGTTCATGTTGACGAAGACGGCCACGATATCGTGCGACTGAAGGGGCCGTGGCAGGTTCACGTTCTTGGTGCTCTCCCACTCCGAAACATGTCACGTCTCTGGGGCTACGTTAACTCTCTGGAGCTACCCGTGTGGTTCCGCCCGTACGGATTCAAACTCTACGCGGCCACGTTCGGTTGCGACTTGGACGAGATCGAGCCAGCAGACTTGAAGGCGTATGCCAGTCTTGGCGAGTTCTTCTATCGCAAACTCAAGGAAGGGTCACGGCCTGTGGAGGATGCAGTGCTCGTTAGCCCTGCCGATGGAAAGATATTGCATTTCGGGACAATCCAGGATTGGCGGATAGAACAGGTGAAGGGGATCACATACTCCCTCGATGCACTACTTGGAGTCGAAAGACCCGGTTCACCTATTGCTACGCCTGCGGATATGCCCAAGGGTCTTCCCGTCGTTGACGATCACGAGTTCGCAAATGTGAACGGAATCGAGTATAGTCTACATGGGCTTATTGGAGGATCCAGTGGAGTCAACACGCCCACAGAAGATGCATCTGTTCCGCACAAATTTGGCAAGCAAATCGATGCGTCTGTGGTGGGGAAGCCGGCTGAGACTCTCATTCACGACGTCTCTGTTGCTTCTGAGGTTGGTCTGCGCCCGACGTTGGAGCGAAAGAGCACCAGTGTTAGTAGCTTGCGACCGGGAAACACACTCTTCTTCAGCGTTATCTATCTTGCACCTGGCGACTACCACCGGTTCCACAGTCCCGCAGCATGGGTTGTCGAGAAACGTCGACATTTTGTCGGTGCGTCGTTATCCCTTCGTTATTTTGGTGTCATTGAATTGCATCTAAAGGCGAGCTGTTCTCTGTTTCGCCCTACATCGCTAAACGGCTGGAAAATTTGTTTGTGCTCAACGAGCGAGTCGCCCTGTTGGGTCGGTGGAAGCATGGCTTCTTCAGCATGGTTCCAGTGGGCGCTACCAACGTCGGCAGTATCAAGGTCAATTTCGATCAGACCTTGCGAACGAATCTTCGTGGTAAAGCACCTCCACCGGGAACGTACACGGAGGCGGTGTACTCAGCAGCTTCATCGCTCTTGAACGGCCAGCCCTTGTTACCCGCTCAAGAGATGGGCGGATTCTGTCTGGGCAGCACCATCGTTCTCGTCTTTGAGGCTCCACGGGATTTCCAGTTCGCTGTGCAGACAGGCCAGAAGGTTAAAGTGGGACAGAAGTTGGGGGACATTGTCGAGAATAAGACACAGTAGTAGATTTATTATAATGGGGAATGTCTGTTCTATTCTTGGTATGGATACGCAAGCTTGGGCTGGTCCTTGCGACGCCAGAGCTTCTTCCTATTGGAATTTAGTACAACGTTTTCATCCAGAACTGACTAGTCACTTTTTCTTAGTGGGAAGGTGTTCAGCAAAGACCTCAACACAGAATTTGGCTTTGAATTCGCGAATGAACCGTGGGTCCCTACACAAACTAGTGAGACACACGAGCTTCACCCGTAGAACGGACAGACCAAAGTTCACTGGCAATTCCTAGGTCTTTGCAGCATCGCATTAAGGCATTGCTCTTGCAGGCCTCCGTCGCAGTGGGGATACCTGAAGGATCAAAATACTCTTGTTCGCCGCGGGAGATAGCAACGAGGCTTATGCAATGTAAGCAAGGACATACGGATCCCGAACGAGGAAATGCACCGTCCATGGCACACCAGTGCATATTCACGACTGACAATCCTGGGACCAACATTCGTCTCGCTGCGGGGAGCGAGCCCCCAGGCCCCAGGCCCAAAAGCACGGTTCAGGACTCGCCGGTATTTGATTTCGGGAAGATAAAGCAGACCGTCCGGTTTGACTTCAATATCTTCAGACTGTAACGGTGCCAGCAAGACATCAGAGATTTCCTTGGAGAATGCCTGTTGGGAAAGACCAAAATAGCTTTTGGACCAGTCGGTCCCAGGGCCTTGGGGAGGACTTGGATCAGGAAGGTCACTGGGGGGCGCCTCGGTCGAGGAGGCCTCAAACATTGGCTGTGGCACAGTTGAGGATAGTCGAACGTTGGAAAAGGACAATCGAGGGGTTATGCGAGCAGAAGACGAAATAGCGCGGTGACTGTAGCACTTCGACACGAAGGCTACCCGTTGAAGGACACCAGCCATGCTCAAGTTCCAGCCCAGGGTAATTGGAGAAACCGAAATGTTCACGGATGAATAGAGACAAATTATGTGGCACTGCCTTATTCATTTGATCGACAAGTACGAATGGACACGATCACATTGGCTGCTCAGGTGCCTGCTGCCCATGGCTCTGAACAGCTCTCTGAACTAAGCGCTTGATGCCCAAATCATCAAGTCGTATATAGAGAACAGTGTGTCGATTGTGTCATACTCAAGATACACCCGATACAATACACTGCCGTTCGGACGAGTGCCGAAAGCTGGTTCATAATGCATGGATGATGCGTCGATTGCGAGTGGAAAGAGAGAAAGAAGCTACATGTGAGTATCCTACACCACCGTCCCTGCGTTCGACGCAATACGTGGCCAAAGGTCCGCCTAAGGGGAAGGTCGACACTTAGTTCGGTGAGGTAGTGATATATGACATACGCATTCTTTTGCGACCGGGCCTGTGATAGCTGAGCCCTTCATTTCACCCTTCGGGTTAACGATAACACCAGCGTTGTCCTACATCGAGAGAAGTGAATGAGAACATCAGAACAAGATAACATATAGCACTCTCACCTCGAAATAGAGAAACACGCCGTCCTTTCGACGCCATGCCTTACGCTGACGAATTACAACAGCAGGCATAGCTTGGAGCAAGATGAGAGACAAAGCAATTGTTGGGGTCTTGAAACGCACTCTTTTTCCGCAGTTCGGGCTTTCCCTTCTTCACTGAGGCGACGACCATGTCACCAACACCAGCATCCGGTAGACGATTGAGATGTGCGCCAAAACCGTATGGCTCAATGAGGAAGAGGCTCTTTGCGCCGCTGTTATCCGCGCAGTTGATGACGGCGCCGACAGGGAGACCAAGGGTCATGCGAAACTTGGTGCCAGATGCACCTCCACCTGCAGACCGTAACTTAGGTTGGCACACAGCACGTCGGGACAGACGGGGGCGTACCACGCGCTGCAGCCATTTTTGAGTCTTGATGAGTTTAGACGAAGGAGAATCGTTCAGTCATGGACTGTATAATTGCACGTGGGCATAATGAACACGTGATCTATGATAAGATAAGGCGAGCCGACTATCGATCAGGAATCTCAAATCGGAATGGCATCGAGAAGCATGCGCAAGCAAGTTCAATGATCAAGTGCTCAAGCCTCAAATTCTCTTGCTGTCAGCTGGTCTATTTGTCATTCGGACCGCGTTTGCTCTTCCATGCATCACAGCATGCAGAAGGCGAAAACATTTGGGATCGGGACGGGGAGTGTTCAGGTGGAGAAAATGTCCCCAGTCCACATATACGATAAAAACACTCCCTACTATCGACACAGGGAAGCAACAGGATAGTGCACAGGTGAACAATATATGTGTCATTACAGTTGAGTAAGCTATGGATAAGATTACGATTAGATGGGGCACTGTCACATGACATTCGAGCCGACGTACGTCATGATTCGTTCATTTCCCTGCAACTCATCGCGATCGATCGCGCGACGCCTCAACTATGTCCTGAGTGCCATACGGTCAATTGGAATAGTCTCAGGCCGTATAATCAGTTTTCTTGCCAGTACGGTCAACTTCCAGCCCAGAGCTGGGACCGAGAATGGGCTTGTGCGGAGCAAGAACGGAAATATGGCCTAAATCGCGTCAGTTGACCTGCTCACCACGACTCAAATAACAGCCAATCGGACTTCGCGAAATTCTTCTCTGTCAGCATTGGCATCATATCTCATCCCTTTATAAAGTCGAACCACGCTCACCGCCTTTCTACATTGTACCATCATGCCCTCTCAACAAGTATTCGACTTGGGAACTGAATCTGTCCATTATACGACTTCGAACGGAGCTCCCGTCTCCGAGCCGTATGGAGCTCAAAGGGTTGGACTCCTTGGACCACTCCTTCTCCAAGGTGTGTCTTTTTTGGTCGTATCGCGTCATGTATTCAATCCCTCTCGCTCGTTTCAGACTTCCATCATATCGATCTGCTCGCTCACTTCGATCGTGAACGCATCCCGGAGCGTGTGGTTTGTAGTACCAGTGATTCAAGCAGTGTCTCTGCTCACTCTACTGTGAAAGGTGCACGCCAAGGGTGCTGGTGCTCACGGGTACTTTGAAGTCACGCACGATCTGAGTGACATCACCTCCAACCCCTTGCTTACATCCGTGGGTAAGAAGGTGAAGACGACCGTTCGCTTCTCGACGGTTGGCGGAGAATCGGGGTCAGCCGATACTGCGCGTGATCCCCGCGGATTCTCTGTCAAGTTGAGGACGGAGCAAGGCAATTGGGACTGGGTTTTCAATAACACGCCCGTGTTCTTCATTCGCGATCCTGCCAAATTCCCCCACTTCATCCACACTCAGAAGCGCGACCCTCAGACTCATCTGAAGGATGCCGACATGTTCTGGGTACGCCTTCGGTTCGGTTCGGTGAATCCTTCTTAGTGACTTCTTGATCTGTAGGACTACCTGGGCCAGAATCCTGAGTCGATTCACCAGATCATGATATTGTTCAGCGATCGCGGCACTCCTGACGGATATCATCAAATGCACGGCTACTCAGGCCACACATTCAAGTGGTTCAAGCAGGACGGTTCTTTCGTCTACACCCAGCTGCATCTTCGCGTTCGCAATGGATTCAAGACCCTGAATAATAGCCAAGCCGGAAAACTGGCAAGCGAAAACCCCGATTATGGTATTCAATCGATGTTTGAAGCCATCGAAAGCAAGAACTATCCGACTTGGGATGTTTTCGTCCAAACGATGACCCCGTCTCAAGCCGAGCAGTTCCGTTACAACGTCCTCGATCTCACCAAAGTCTGGCCGCACAAGGAATTCCCTCTCCGGCCGGTGGGCACGCTTGTCTTCGACGAGAACCCGCAAAACTATTTTGCGGAGATCGAGCAAGCGGCGTTTGCGCCGTCGCACCTTGTTCCCTACATTGAGCCCAGTGCGGATCCAGTGCTGCAGTCGCGCCTGTTCTCTTATCCCGACACTCATCGCCATCGTCTCGGCGTGAACTACCAGCAGCTCCCTGTCAATGCACCGATCGTCCCAGTGTCCAACTTCCAGAGGGATGGGGCGGCCACTTTTGTATCACAGGGTGCCCGTCCGAACTACCAGAGCTCCATTGCCCCGCTCCAGTACAAGGGTGCCCCTGGAACCCTCGAAGGCGGTGTCCGGGACCTGGGCCGCCAGGCCAAGCACGAGACGTATCTCGGTGCTGCTGTGCGTGATCTGAGCGAAGTCACCGAGCGTATGTGGTTCTTGTTCTACTTGCCGGGCGATGTGCTGACAGTGGCCAGTCGACTTCGAGCAGCCTCGTGCGCTGTGGAGCAAAGTGTGGAATGACGAGCAACGTGAGGCCTACGTGCAGAACGTCGCTGGTCACTTCGGTAATGTCAAGAGCGCTACGATTCGTGACCGTCAGCGTGAGTGTCCTGCACATGTATCCATTTTGTTTTGTAATTCGTCTCCGCAGTGTCTGTCTGGGCCGCCGTCGACCAGGGTCTCTCTGACCGTATCGCCAAAGCCATCGGCGCTTCATCTGTGAAGCCTCTCAAGGTCAAGCCCGCCAGCGAAGCGATCAAGTTCCGGGCTAACATCGGCGCCTTTGCTTGAGCAGGTAGCCACTACAAAGCCGAGATTGTAAGAAAGTCGTGTATCTGCGAAATCTGTAATCAGTATGTAAAGCAAACCACTTCCCTGTCCGAGTCACGCATGACTTCACCTATATTTGAGCGGCCCGACTTGGCCCGATGCACTACTGTTTTGATGCCAAACAACCCGCTTGTGACGAGCTTTGTCCACCATGTTGAAGACATCGAGCTCGTCGTCTGGCGCAGCCTTGAGGAGCGCTACCGGCCGCATCAGGAACTTTGCGACAGTTGCAGACCCACCAGTTCGTCGCTATGGAGGCCTCAAGGACCAAGACCGGATCTTCACCAACGCCTTCTTACGCCATGACTTTGGTCTCAAAGGCGCAAAATCTCGTGGCGACTGGCATCGCACCAAGGACATTCTCCTCAAGGGCGACTCGTGGATTATCCAGCAAATCAAGGACTCCGGCTTGCGAGGGCGAGGTGGAGCAGGTTTCCCCAGCGGTCTCAAATGGAGTTTCATGAACAAACCCAACTGGCAGGCCGACAAGCGGCAAGTCTCCCTCTTCCGTTTTTCCCGTGGCTTTCCTCACTTGCACACACATAGTCCACGGTACCTGGTTGTCAATGCCGATGAAGGTGAACCCGGAACATGCAAAGACCGAGAAATCCTCCGTGGTGACCCGCACAAGCTTGTGGAGGGTTGTCTTGTCGCAGGCCGCGCCATGAACGCCACCGCAGCTTACATCTACATCCGCGGTGAATTCGTGCAAGAAGCGGACCATCTCAGTCAGGCCATCGCCGAAGCGTACAAGGATGGATTATTAGGACCCAACGCTTGCGGGAGCGGGTACGCATTCGATGTATACGTCCACCGCGGTGCCGGAGCCTACATTTGTGGAGAAGAGACAGCTCTGATTGAAAGTATCGAGGGAAAACAAGGCAAGCCTCGTCTCAAGCCGCCTTTCCCTGCCGATGTCGGTCTCTTCGGTTGCCCTACCACCGTGGCAAACGTCGAAACTGTCTCAGTCGCCCCGACTATCTGTCGTCGTGGCGCATCGTGGTTCGCTGGATTCGGCCGTGAACGCAACCAGGGCACGAAACTATTCTGTATCAGCGGACATGTGAACAACCCCTGCGTCGTCGAGGAAGAGATGAGCATCCCTCTGCGCGAATTGGTCGAGAAACACTGTGGCGGTATCCGGGGAGGTTGGGATAATTTGTTAGGCATCATCCCTGGCGGTTGCTCCGTCCCTGTTCTGCCCATCAAGGACTGCGGAGAGGTCCTCATGGATTATGACTCGCTGAAGGATGCCGGCTCTGGTCTCGGTACTGGCGCTGTCATCGTCATGGACAAATCGACGGATATTGTAGCTGCTATCGCGCGCTTTTCTGCTGTGAGTTTGCCTGTCGTGTCTCATGGCATGCGCTTATTCCCGCCATGCAGTTCTACAAGCATGAATCATGTGGCCAGTGCACACCTTGTCGCGAAGGGACTACTTGGATGATGAACATGATGAATCGTATGGTCGAGGGCCGGGGGCACCGCCGCGAGATCGACATGCTTTTGGAGCTAACGTTAGTCCTACCTGCTCCAGTTGGCGCGGTCTTCTCATCCGTTAAACCAGCAAACAAGTCGAAGGCCGCACAATCTGTGCCCTGGGAGATGCCGCTGCCTGGCCCATCCAGGGGCTCATGCGTCACTTCCGACCAGAAGTTGAAGCCCGGATCGACGCCTTCCGCGCTAAGCACGGCAATGTTGCGTTTGGTGGCCGACTGGCTAGCGAAGTGGATGACTCTCTGGCAGTCCCGGATAACTTGGGCGTCCGTTTACCTGTTGCTCCGCCGGCAGCATAGAAGCACCACTAGTACACATGAAATCCATCCTTTTTTCGACATTGCGACATTGGCTGGATTGTTTCTTTTCCAATTCCTGCCTCGCTCTGAGAGATGTAAATCTACTTGAATACAAAGATACATATGCGGTGCCATCTGGTATTAGGTGTGCGTTCAGCCCCATGCCGCTGTGGTGCTGGCAACTCTTGAGGTGATCGTCTTATGTCGGTGCCCAAAGTCTCACCTGTAATTCACTATCAAGTGTCCGTCTGTCGAAAAAGACTGTAAATGATCAACACGGCGTTTAAGCGATGGTGTGGATTTCAACTTGCTTTGAATAAATTTGAGACAGTGTCATCAGGAGCGGGCGAGAAGGCCAGATTTATATACGTGAACTGGATTCTGCCTCAAGGGGATTGGCATACTGGAGATTCGGGGTCGTACCAAAGGATCGCCAGTTTTCCATCCCAGTTCTTTTCGCAAGAACTGGATGACAGCTTGGAATCTATTGGACGCGGTTATCTTGTAGAAGTTCTGTTTCATTATTGGCGCGTTGCCGACAGCTTTGAAGCGCACGACCACTGCGGCCACAACGTGTCAAGTGAGAGCGTGAACCAGGTGGCGGATATCCAACCTTTCGAAGGATCTCTCTTCTTGTAGTTCTCCAATGCCGTCAATGCCTCCTCGTTAATCACAGCAGCCGTCGGGGCTGTCCATGGAACAGGTTGTCGCGCAGTAGCATCCGATGGTGTGGTATCTGCTTCAGACATGCCAGAGCCTGTGCCAACAGGTGCAAATACTATTACGGTGCGTGACATTCACTCATACTTGACTATGACTAACCTAGTTCTGGTGCTCTAGATCTCTGACCCTAAGCCGTATCACAGCGGACTACGAAGTTTTGTCTCACTCGAACACCCTCTGGTTTGGGCTCCGGAGACTACATGGCTTTATCTGATTACAATGCGAACGCTGCGGGCGCACAGCAAGCTGTTCCCCATGAATCTGATCTCCTCCATGCTCAGAACTCGTTGATCGTTTCACTCCCAGACGAAGGACTGGGGTTTGATGCGACTCTTGAACATCTAACGACGGACATTGCTCCAGGGTTCCACGGATCTAATCGCTGCCCCACGTACTACGCGTATACCACGGGGGCGGTGACCGACGCGGCATTGTTCGCCGACTGGTTAGTCAGCCAGTACGACCAAAATGTCTCCGTTCATCTGCCCTCTGAGACCGTGGCCACAACCTTGGAGGCAATCACTCTGAAGTAGGGTGTCCATATGTTTGGGTGCTGGCTGTGTGGGTTGATGGTGTTCTAGATTATTACAGCAACTTTTTTCTATCGACGAACTCGAGTTCACTGGCAGAGTCTTCACCACGGGGGCCACAGCTTCCAACCTTATTGGACTGGCTCTCGGCCGAGAATATGTCATTCGTGAGGCTGGCCGGCGCAAACGTGTCCCGTCTGCAGTCAGTGTTACAAAGTCCGGCTTTCTGGAAGCCTGCGTCAAAGTGGGAGCGCCAGGGATCCAGATCATTGGAACAGTTCCCCATGCGTCGATGTACAAAGCGGCTTCGATTGCAGGGATCGGCAGAGACTCGTTTACATTGCTTCCGCTGAGCGATGAGCAGCCGTGGAGATTTAACGTAGAGGCGCTCGAAGCTCATCTCTCGCGTGGACCCCCGGCCATCGTGCTTGTCAGTGCTGGGGATGTTAGCTGTGGGCGTTTCGCGACCAACGGGGAAGAGTTGGTGCGAATCCGCGCACTGGCTGATGAGTATGGTGCATGGGTCCATGTCGATGGAGGTGCGATAAATGACTATGTTCTGATCTGACAGCCGTTGACGTCATACCTGCAGCGTTCGGTCTACAAGCACTCATCTTACCCGAGAAAACAGAATACAGAATCATTGCAGGGGGGATCTCTGGTATCCTGCTGGCCGACTCACTGGCCGGTGACGCCCACAAGATGTTGAATGTGCCATATGATTGCGGGTTCTTCTTCACTCGTTACCCTGATCTCCAAGAAGCGGTATTTCAGAACCCCAATTCGCCATATCTAGCCACCCAAGCCTCCTCTACTCCGTCTCCGTTGAATATGGGCATCGAAAATAGCCGTCGATTCCGGGCGTTGCCGGTATATGCATCACTCCTGGCTTACGGACGCGATTGGTTCTCTCAACTTCTGGAGCGCCAGATTCTGTTGGCTCGCCGAATTGCAGAGTACATCGACCGCTCTCCACGTTACGAGCTGTTACCGGATTCGAGGATCGAAGCAGTATACATCGTCGTCCTGTTTCGAGCCCAATCCGAGGCTCTCAATGCCCGTCTGGTTTCGGAAGTCAATGCGACAAATCGACTTCGTCTGACAGTTGTTGAATGGAGAGGAAGACCTGCAGCTCGCATGGCTATAGCGACCTGGCGGGTTGAGATTGAACGTGACTTTGAAACGGTGAAGCAGATTCTGGAAACAGTGGTATACGAGGTCCAAGCTAGCTAGTTGTATTGCCTCCAGCCATCCTGTCTCTTGCCGATCTTTGTAATGGCATCCCTGACGACGAGACTGGGGAGCGCTTTCTTGTCTGGTAGAACCAAACTCTTCTTGGCTTCTGGGCTCATCAGCGCACCCTTCGTATAGTAGTCTGCCCACAGATCCCCTTGTACAATGTGGGGATTCAGCAGGAGAAAGCGGGCAAAATCGTCGGATCCCTCGGCAGTAGGCGGTGGACTATCGGGAAGGCTCCTGATGCCGAAATGGATCATCTGAATCCAAAAATAAGTCATGGTGAGGTGGAATGTCCGTCCTCCAGTCTGTTCCGGACTCTCGGCTATGTAATGTTGTATTCCGGCCAGAATGAGATCTTTGCCTAAGGGATTCTTCAGCGTGGGAGTGAGTAATTCCATACCTGACTCGCCTTTCTGACGTCCATGTTTGAGCAGGAGAAGATAAGCAAGACGGACATGCGTGTAGTGATCCCAAGCAGGAAGGCAGCGCTGTTCGAATTGCGATAAAAATTCGTCGCATGACGAATCTTCTTCCCACCGTGCAAGCCACGAAGAAAGCTTGTCTTCGATAGAATCAGTCCGCACTGGAGTAACAGGCGGACCGGGATCTCCCTTTCTCGTAGACTCTGCCGCAGCCAAAAGCCACCCAAACGCGTCGAGAAACACTCCGTTGCGCAGGTCTTGATTCAGCGCAGCTCCGACACAAAAAACACTCCGGCCTTTGATGATGGGGGCAATGCGTATTCTGATCTCATCCAGGGTCATGGCTTTGGGTAAATCCTGCTTGGTGGCAATGCTGGAAGAATGGTCAGTACGTGCACGATACGTGTCGAAGCGATGGCGAACACTAAAATCGGGCGATTGCGGGGCATGTATACTCCCGGTGTGTTGAGTCTCGCATCGACCCGCTCGAATTCGGCGACAGTCTCATCGAGACGGCTGCGATCTGAGCTGTCGATCAGCCTTGCAGCATGAATCAGTGAATATCTGCAAGACATAGCCTGGTGCTCACCAAATCACAACATGCGACCGTGACGCAATTTCGACAATTATATGAGTCATGTGCTCGCGTCCGCATCCTCCGACGTCCCAGCACACCAGATTCAAGTTTTGCCCTTGGCGTGTGGGCAAGTTAACAGTCTCGACATTGAAGCCGATGGTGGGAATCGTCGTCACGATTTCACCTTACGAGGATGTTGGTCAGCCCGGTTGAGACATCGAGGCTTTTCTATCACTAACCAAAGACCAATCGATATAGAAGAGTAGTTTTCCCCGACGCATTGAGCCCGATAATGACAGCAACATACTCACTGCCGGGAAAGAGAACATTCATGAATCGACTCAAAATCGACGGCATGGCACCTGAAAGCGCTGTAGGATGGTTAAGACAGCACCGACTGCCACTATATATGCAGGCAAGCTCAGCACGGCCACTCTGGCAGTGCACCGCTGGCAGCCACGTCGCAGGTTAGATGAGCTTGACACCAGAGTCCTGTCAGATTGAGCATCCGCATGACATCGTGATTCGACAAGTATGATTCAGATCGTCAGATGAAGGGAAATCATGTTGCAGTGAGCGAAGCAATGTGTTGCATGACTGTACATAATGTGCATAGCGAGAGAGATAGTGAAGATGGTTACTATGGATCAATGAGTACGACCGATTAGCAGTGTGAGAGACGATAGACGCACGAAAGTGAGAGCTGCACCCTTTGTCTTCTTTTCTCCACCAAGCTCGAAGCTTGGAGTATTTTAGAAATTGAGACCCTGGGGACTTGTAGTGGACATACTGCTTGCAACGTTTGAGAGCCATTTGCATTTTATACTTGCACACAGTGCATTCCAGTCGAAGAACAACCTTCTTAGTAGTCTTCGCCTAGAAGGGAGCGGGTTGTCAAGGTATAAGCTGGTCTCGTCGCATGAGGTTACAGACCTTCTTGTGGAAGACGGGCTTAGTCTGACCACCGTAACCGGACTGCTTGCGATCGTAGCGACGTTTGCCCTGTGCAAACAAAGATGCCTTGCCGGTCTTGTATTGTGTCACCTTGTGAGGCCTGGAAGCAGCAGTTAAGACACGATGATGATTTGAGCATGAGCCATGGATATTGAGCCGTCTGGAGCCAGATCACTCATGCCACCATTCAATCGATCCAAACGCTCCATTCACCGGGAAAGGAAAGAGAAGAACAAGACGACGTACGTGTGCTTTTTGCAGGGCTTGCCCTTACAGTCTGCGCATCGCATTTCAGTTCTTCATCCCCTGCAGCCCATCCCTGCACGAAAACTTACATGTTCGGCGGGTCCTGGAGTCAGGCGTAAGTAAATGATGGAATGACACAGAGAAAGACGGACTTTGGGACGTTGACCATGTTGTTGGCGGCAGCGACACTTCAGAAGGAGAGGCGAGTGAAAGCACGTGACAATTTCCACGTGCCTGAACTGTGCAGCTCCGCGTACTTGAGTAGCCCTGAGGACTACTTAATATTACTTAATACTGATGGCAGATACTTGCTGACTAACATGCCTGACCTGATCTTGATGTTGGGATGTACCTGTGACGGCCTGAAGGCTACCATTGTGACTCACTTTACGAAGAGTTTATCATTAGGGCATACATTGTTCATACAGGAACATGGGATCCTAAGTTACACGAGACACGGTCAGAGATAAAAGGTGTCATGGAGATCCTGGACCATTTCGGACCAAGATAGCATAGATGGCACAGGCCTCCTCATATCTGGCATATTTCAGACTGAAATGAGCCATAGCAGCGCTATCAGCATCATCCCCAGCACTAACGAGACCGCGCTTCAACAAAGCCGAGTAAAATCGGCAAAGCTAATAAGGAATGGTTTATGGTCATGACTGGGAGCGTCACGATGTTACTCACATGGCCAGTAGCTTGAGCGACCCGATCGTCGCTGATGGATCCTTCTCGTTGCTCACGATCGCCCCGGTCAATCCATTCCATACATCCAGCGAGGAACCTTCCGAGGACCTCCATGCGGATCAGAGCGCCTACGGTGAGCGATTCTTCAGAGCGAGATGGCAGAACCGAGGCCTGAGTGACTGTTTCATCTCGCAAAAGACGACCCATGACGTCAAAAGATGGGAGCATCGGTGGAAGGGAGGCAAGTTCTGAAAGGATTGATGCAGTGGTCAACCCAGAGTGTCTGCTCTCGACAGGATCGCCATTGGCGAGTATCGCAGAAATGAGCCCGGCAGCCAATTCAGGGTTGGTTGCGATCAGCGGTGTCAAATCTGCATTGGGTACAAGCAAACGGGGGGCAGCCGCAGCTAGGGCTGGGAACAAGGGTGCCAGATGCTGAGCAGAGGTCAATTTGCTATCGAACAGATGGCTCTGATGGACCGACTCACACGCTGCTCCGAAAGAGACAGGACACGGGAGCGGGCAGCAAGCAATAACCTCAGTGCATGCGCGATGGCTTCAGCATATGTATCCTCGTCTGCTGAAACGACGCGCTCCGTGGCCGTGATTGCCTCGTACTGGATAATGGGGTCAGGAGAGACAAGGTCGTCATCTCTGTCAATTGCTTAGATGAGGACACTAAGATAGATTCTCGCACTGACAGATCGTGAAATTTATGATACAGTGAGTCGTCGAGAATTAGTTTCTTTGCTCTAAAATTGGGTGGTAACAGGGAACGCGAGAGCGCGCTTGGTGAGTAGGGCCCGATCTAAATGATGTCAGACCAAATAGAATCAGAATGTGGCCGTGGACATACATCTTCTCCGTCACCTTTCAAGATCTTCCACAACACCCAGACGAGAGGCTCGTTCGGTGCGATACCGCCACTGGAGTTGGCAACGGTAAGAGCTAATTCACGTTCCTTCACAAAAGTAATAAAGAGGACAGATTTGAAGGGGTTCATCCCGATCGGATGAGGAGAGTAAAGAGAGAACAGGATGAAAGAAACCAGAATCCGAGAGCTTAGCTGATGGCCTGTTCAACACATGTTCAAAGTCGATGATTTAGGAGCCCACACCTCAGCTGGAGTAGGCGGATCCAAAATAGGAAGTAGGGCGTCCAAGGCAAGCTGAAATGTCGATGTCTGGTGAGCGAGACGAGCGAAGGCGGGGGTGGCGGCAGAACATGGATATGAACTGGCACGGGTGAGGAGATTGGAAACCGAGGCGCGATCATCTTCTAAAGATGAGAAATGGGAGTGGTGAGAAGCCGCGCTGCCCAGCGGACTCAACACGCTGTGCATCGCGTCGATGGTCGACGGTCCACGACAAGTCGTGATCAGTATTGTGATGTCATCAGGCTAACACACCACAACTCGACGCGCTTCCAACCATCTCGCTCTCTGGTCAAACATGGCAGACGCGTCATCCTTGTCCATTGGAACGCACCCCGAGATATCATTAGGGAGCTTCGACGACGATCCACCTCAAAGAACTCCCGCAAAAGTACGAGTGCTATCTGCTTCTTCTGGTACCTCTGTGCCCTCTTCTGCTCCCCTCGACACGCCATCACCGCCTGGATTTTCGCGCCGTGCCACTGTAACAGTCGCGGATAGGCCGGGCTACTTTGGTAATGCCGATGAAGATGAAGGCGCTGATTATGGCGTCGGAACTCCCGTTGCAACGCGACCGAAGCGTTCGGCTAGGCCATCCGCCGCCGCGTCCAAGGGGGCGCTCACTTTACGAGATCAGGAAAAGGTGTGACCGCCATCCTCTATACAGAGAATTTTCTGAGATATGGCATAGCACATAGACAATTTGAAGAAGGAGAACTTCAATATCAAATTGCGCGTACATTTCCTTGAAGAGCGCCTTGCGCAGCTAGCACCAGATCAAATTGATGCTGCACTGAAACAGAATATCAGTTTGAAGATCGAAGTTCAGCAGCGTGGCATGGAGCTGAAAAAACTCAAGAAACTGGTTCTTGAACTGGAACGTGAGCTGCAACGGGCCGGTCCTAAAACTAGGAATCATCACCGAGAACGGGAGCTAGAGGACAAGCTAGAGGAACGGGAACGGGAACTACGAGAACTTCGTCGTCGTGCAGCAAATGATGCCTCCGATCCTCTTCTAGCAGAGCGCAATGCAGAACTGGAGGAACAATTGGACAACATGCGTGGTCTGCTCGAAGATAATATGGACGAGCTGGAGCGATTACGCGATATTGTCGAGCGTCAGAACAATCAATCTGAAGAAGATCATGTCGCAGCGCTTGAGGCAACCGTCGCCGAACTCCGTGATCAACTTTCCGACCGCCACAATGAGAACGAAGATCTTGCAGATTCTCTCGAACAATTACGTCTGGAGAATGCCGAAATCCAGCAACAGCTTCAACGGACGGAAGCACACGAGCGCTCTGCAAGTCGAGCGATGATACTGGAGGAGCGCGAAGAGCGCGAGGCAGTGGAGGACGAGCTAAACAGTGCTCGCGACAAAATTGCTGCCGTCTTGATTGAGCTACAACAGAAGGAGGACGAACTGGAATTGAAGACCACAGAGATCGATGAACTTGTGGCCGAGCATGATCGAGTCGTGGCTGTTGTTGAAGATGAATGGAGAGGTGAAGTCGAGGAGGCTAGGAATCAAGTTGAAGAGTTGCGCGATGTAAGTCGCCTCTTCGTGTGTTTGGATGGTCTGGGACATACTCATGTGAACAGGTGCTCGCAGAGAGAGACGCGGAAGCAAAAGATCTCCGACTCAATATTGCTGAATTGGAAGCGAACACAAACGATTTGCACACAAAGTTCGAAGCAGCTCTGGCGCACCTCGAGCAAGAGGCTGACGACCGGGACACCGAGATCGAGAAACTTAGTTTGCAAGTCGAGAACAAGGACGCGGAGATTGAGAGATATGCCGATCAATTGGACAGCAAGGATGCTGAAATCGACAGGCTGGGAGAGCAGATTTTTGTTCTGGAGGATGAGACCGACCGGTTGAAAGAAGCCGTCGATGATGATGGCGCCGAGCGCGAGGGACTCGAGGGGCTGGTTGCTGCATTAAAGGAGGTCTGTCGAGCTTCAAATCATCTCCTTGGATACGTTCTGACAGTGGTAGAAAATGACTGGACTCAAGACAGAGCTGGCGGACATGACAGCGGCATTTGAGGAATCCAACGAAGTCATTCTAGGGCACCGAGCTCGTCAGGAAGAGCTTGCCACACACGTGGAAGACCTAGTCTCGCAGCTTCAGGTGTGCAAATCCACGCTCGACTCCACGAATAGGGAGCACGCCAACGACTTGCGTGAACTCAAGCGCGAGCTCGATGCCAAGGAATCCGCCCTACAGAGCGCACTAGACGATCTGGGCCGGACACAGGGACTACTCAGTGCTCACGAGGCAGATCTTGCTGCAGTACAGACTGCAATGCAGTCTCTCGAAGTTGATTCACGACGGGCCGGTGAAACTGCTTCAACGGCCCGGTTCTCCTTAGAACTGGAGCTCGATCGGGTTCGCCGAGACTTGGAAAGAGTTGAAGCTGAGCTGCTGCGATCACGAGCTGACCTCGCGAATAAAGACGCTCGTGGTCGAGCTGGAGAAGAGACTGTGGACTCCCTGCATGCAGAATTACTCTCGCTCAAAGCCGAACTGAGTGCACAAACACAGGCGCGTTTGAATGTCAGCGAGCGCTTGGACGCTGTTCAGTTGCTGCTGAGGACATCCGAAGCTGACTCGATAGGCCATAAAAAGCGTGTGGCCGAACTTGAGGGTCGTCTCAGCAAGGAGCAGCGAGCGCTACTATCGACAGAGGGCCAGTACCGGGATCAACTCACAGAACGCAATACTCTGCTGCTGACAATCTATCAATATCTTGACCGCATCCTTGGTGTCGAAAAAACACCTGTGTGTGTATTAACTCGAACCTGAGCGCAGACTAATTTTCTCTCAGAAGAAAGGCAGTCAAGCAGAAACTAAACCTTTCACCAACTTTGGTGTTTTCCATGACAATCTCATCTCTCGTTTGAAGACACTCAGCGGAATCCAAAGCCAGTTTGACAAGCGAGTGAAAGATGCCGAAGGGCGCTTTGGCGAGAAACTAAAGGAGATGAACAAGCAGCTCGACATGCGATGGAAACAGATCGACAAGTTTGAGGCTGGGGTCAAGGGTTATGCTGAGGCTAAAGCTGGCTGGCGGAAGAAGATGAGCGTGAAGGAAGGCGAAGTCGATGCCTTGCGAGCCACCAACGTCGATCTTTCTAATCAGCTCTCTCGGAAACAGAGCTCCTCTGATCCGATGGAAGTACGCTCATTGTCGACACGAGCTGCAAATGCAGAGCGGCGACTGAACAACGCCCAGAACCAGCTGTTGGCGACCGAGGAGAAAGTTGCACTGATGACGCAACGCAGTGCTACTGCGGACTCAAAGTGGGAAGCTCGGGTGAAGGAATACGAACTTCGCCTGAAAGCGGCTGAAGAACGGGTCAAACGGGAACGACAAGGCGGAAAGGAGCGAGTTGCGGAACTGGAAAGCAACATCAAGTCTGTCTCTCATTTGCATTGCATTTCTTACTGACATGTCTAATCTGTAGAATCCTACAACGTCAACTCGACTTGGCTCTCAAACGAAGCCACCAATTGAATGAAGTCGTGGACGCTGCCCAACTGCCAGCTAGTGGGTCTGCCAACTCTCTGTCCTCTCGATGATTTTCGCTTTTGCCCTGCTTCGCTCTCAATCACATGCTCATTTTATTGTATCAATAATATTTGTATCACTTACTTCACGTCAAGTCTAAATCCTCAATCAAAACAGAGTGCGTAGTCGATCGGTAGAACTCCCATCAAATCTATCCCCATTTGGTCTCATCTCGAGGCAAGGTCAAAATCAACTAATTTCCATGGCTGTAGCCATGTGCATGACTAGGGTTTTTTTTTATGGTTCCATGGCTGGGCTATGAATATTTGGGCATCCAAGCCTCAGATGACATCAATTAGACCTCAACTGCCTTTGCGGGCCAGTCCCTTTCCTAGACGCAGATTGGATACAGTACCTAACTTGTAGACATTCAGCTAGATCTCAGTTTTTCACACTAGTCTCCCGACTGGGCCGCTGCCAAGCTGTTTCAAGATTGGAGTTGCAGTGGGTATTGTCACTAACCTGCTAACTGTATGCATAGATATGTTGCTAACCTGCTAACTGTATGCATGGATTTGTCACTAACCTGCTAACTGTATGCATGGTCATTTAATCAAGGCAGGAATATGTCTGTGCTTTCACAAGTCTCAAGTTCCAGGTATCTCTGATCGGATTTATTGATACCCACTTTGAAACAGATCAAAGAAATTGCAGACCTCTAGATACACTCTGGCTGACTAGCTCCAGTGTTAGAACACACAATTTGAATTAGAAAAACATATCCTTGTGGATTAAAAAGTGACATTCTAAACTCAAGAGGTCTTGAGGAAGCAAGACATAAGCAGCCAGCACACTTGACCGGAGATGAGCCCAAATGGGGATAGATTTGATGGGAGTTCTACCGATCGACTCAACACTGATCAAAACATGCAGTCCGGTGTTGGAGTCGCAAGCTTGACAGCTGATTGAAAAACGATAGACAGAGCCAGAAAACGACGATGTGATCGCGGAAACTGCCGTAGCACAGCATTTTTCCTAATTCGGTAAAGTTTCACTCCACTACTCCACGTCGACACGTCGACTCGTTGCACATTTGGGGGATCGATGCCGGGGAGTTCTGTGATGGTAAATGTCGTCTATTGCCACGGCGCATGGTAGTGTGTGTGTAAGGTGCAGTATTCTGAGTCTCGACACATGGGTGGAGCGGTGGAGCGAAACTTTACCAAATTAGAAAAAATGCTGTGCTACGGCAGTTTCCGCGATCACATCGTCGTTTTCTGGCTCTGTCTATCGTTTTTCAATCAGCTGGAAGTATAAACAGTATTCAAGTTCACGTGATACATCAATCAGATGATCACGCTGCTGTGACCACACGCGCTAGTACAGGCTAGTACCAACTCTCAAGCGTTCCAACTTTGATTCAACTCATATGCCACGGGGGCCGCAAGAGCAGCATCGGACTTGTGCGCCGGTCTGCGGCCCAAAAGTCCCATTTGCCATACCGTGGAGACGATCCAAACGTCGGACGCAAGACCGGTGTTTCAATACAACCTATTCAACAGGACTCTGATGGATTTGAGCCGTTCGACCAGCTGATTGGACAAGCCGATGGACTCCAGCTATCACAAAAGCATCAGAAGAGGAAGAAGAATATCACCAATGAGAAGCGAATAGAAAGTAGTGAGGAACAGGAGGAACAGGAGGAGGGGTACGGGGAGATGAGTATGGACGTGGATAGTGCGTTCTTATTCTTCGCAAAGCAAATCAGACTCACGTCGAGTGCAGGCCCGGTTCAAAGTTACTTGAATGTGCGCCCGCCTCCATCGCCGCGCACACCTCGTCCTCGACCCGTCGCTCGCACGTCTCATGTTGATTTCGATCGGGTTCCTTCACCCAAATATCGCTCTGTGCGGAAATCTCTCCCCCTTTCGTCCCATCTTCGTGCTCAAGAGCTATTCGACCTGGATGAGGAGGAGGAAGATCGCGCCACAGGTGCTGGCTACTCGCCTCGTGAGGTTAGCTTCACTGAGATGGATTCCCGCAACGATTTAGACGAGGACGAAGACCCAACCCCCAAGAAGAAACAGTTATCCAACAAGCTCAAAGACAAAATTCGTCAGTCGGTTGCTAGAATCTCCTCGCCAGCAAACCAATCCCACAATCCGTCGCCGAACAAGGGAAAGCGCAAGGCTGTTGAAGACGTCTCCCCAAGCCATAGCAAACGCCGGGAGTTTTTGCAGGAGCTATATGAAACCGAACGCGAAATGACCCAATACGAGCCGCATACAATTCAAAGCGATCGGGATCTGCCACCGTCGGACCCAATCCAGGCAGAAGTGGCTGAGGAGCCTGCACCCTCCCCGAAATTCAAATCATCGAACAAGAAAATGACGTTGAAACCTTCTACTTCTCTAAAGGAAAACCGCGAAGGTGTGTGCATATATCCTGGTTGATCATGCTGCTGATGGTGTCCGAGTGCGTACGAAGCGCAGCCCACCTCTAGGCAGTGTTCGCCGATCCAGCCGCGTGCCATATCCTCCGCTCGAATGGTGGCGGAATGAGAAAGTGGAGTATGGTGGCCGAGATCCAAAAGCGGGACCGATTCTCGTTCCGCGAATCAAATCTATTATTCGTATACCCAGGGAACCTGTGGTTCCGTTGGGTACGAAACGACGTGTGAGACGACGGTCGACGCCTGGGCCCGACAAGCCAGTGAAAATAGTCGAAAAGATCGTAGAAAAGGTGATCGAGATCGAGATCGAGAAGTTGGATCCAGAGGCAGGTTGGGATGATGAAACAGATCCTTTTGCTACTGTCGTGGATTTTCCGGGACCGGGAGAGATTCGCAGGCGTGAGTCTTTCACCCAATTCTGGCGAAATGCCGCCTAACAGGTAACTTCAGAGGTCGCCTTCACAGCGAAAATGTTCAATCCCCAGAATGCCGCAAACAACGATTGGTCCTTCCAGCAAATTTTCCTAGACGGCGAATTCATGGCTGCCGGACAAATGATTATTCCATCGAAATCCCGGAAGCCAAGCAAGCCGACCAAGGATAACACTTTTGTGAGTAGTGGATATTTTGTGTTGGTCATACCGATAATATCACTAGATATTCTATGTGGTGGAAGGAGCTGTTAAGCTTAGAGTGAATCAAACGAACCTCCTGGTTGCCACTGGCGGTATATTCATGGTGCCACGAGGTTTGTTGTCCTGTTCCAAGCTTCCGACTGCTAATGTGTCAACACGTAGGCAACACATATTATATCGAGAATGTCGGCAACCGGGCCGCCAAACTATTCTTCACCCAGGCCCGCAAGCCCAAGGAAGCTGACGAGGGGCTCCCAGAACGCAGCTCTTCTCATGTAGCGCCGGTGGGCCGCGCCGTGTCAGTCGCGGGTGGTAATCCATCCTATCGTCGGGATCCCAATGTCCCTTACCTCCAGCGAGGCAGGAGTGCCCATGTCTGAACTTTGTTTATGTACGGATCATGCAAGTATACAGCAATATTAAATGTAACACGCATCAACCGATTTTCACGGTCTTTGCGTATAGGCTTTCCACAACCTTGCCTACTTCCTGCAGGGTGTCAATGGCAGTAGTATAAGTTGACTGCAAATGCCAAGTCACCCGTCAGTGCTGGTTGTAGATATATAAGCGATCCACTCACGTCCTCTTCCGTGGCATCGAAAATCAATAGACAGCCGCGTCCTTGGTCCAACACACCGTGCAGCACTTTGTCAAGAATCATCTGAGAAAGTCTGGGTGAAACAATCAGAATCACGAAGCGACACGATATCAATGGACACACTTGGCCTCGACCGCCTGCCGACCCTGACCAACAACCTGGCTCACGTATTCCAGCTCTACCACAGAATATGGCTCGATGATGCGTAACAGATTTTGCTCCAGCAAGGTATCATACAGCGCAGCAAGATGCGAGCGGATAGTCGGATCTGAAGAGAGTTCTGCGGGACTACCATCAGCTCCGCCTACCTGATTGGAGGCACGAAGATCTACCGTCTTTGTAGTCTCTCAGAGCTTTCTCAAAGTCAGCGAGGTTTCGGTCTTGATGAGCTCGAGCGATCGCACGCATGCTCTCGACTTCTCGCAGCTGGGCATACTTGAGTGCAAGCTTGATACTCAATAACGAGAGGACATCTTCCGGCTAGAGCAAGATTACTTTTCGTCTTCACTCTTGAGATGCAAAGACTCACCAGATTGAGCATGACCTTGCATAGTAACATATATTTTAGAGCCTGTAAAGCACCCTTCCCCTCCATGTCAGTCTCCGTGTCCGCAGCTACAGGGAGGGTCCCATCGGCACCCTCACTGTCACGCTTGGAGGTAGGCACAAAAGAAGCAGCGGTTGCCTGTGACTCGAAAGCCTCGAAGAAGTAACTGTAGGCGGTCTTGTAATCTTTGTCCTCGGCGTGCAGAATACCCGACTGGATATCGAGTGAGGACTGTAGGGCGGGTGGTGTATAGATGGATGCAGCAGATGTCCTCGCAGAGGTGAGCCCCGCCTGAGATGTTCAATTGACACTCCAGAACGGTTGACTGTGTTCTGTTGCTCACTTTGGCCTTGGTCATATTGCCCACTCCTCGATAAACTTTGCTCTCTAACAGATGGACTTCCGTCAAGATGAGCTTGTCATCTAGCCGCCTGAGTTCAGCCAGAAGACTTTCAATTATAGAAAGCGCGGGTCGATATTGTTGCAGGTCGAGATGTCTGTGGCGATTGAGCGTGCAGTGGACTCAACAACCAAGGCACATACATGGATGCCAACCGCGTCTCCAGACTATGTTTCAAGAAGATTCGCTTCTCATCTTTAGCCCATGCGATGTTTTCCTCCAAGACACGTATTTGAACCGTTGTGCTGTTGGGGATGGACGAGAAGTGACCGAGCAGAGTCCTGACTGAATGAGCATCAGGATCTGGTGGAGCAAGCAAGAGCTATCGAGGTAGCGCACTCAATTTTGCGGTCTTCGCTTTCGCGGTACTTGAAGAGAAGAATCCCCGCGAAAGATTGATCACTTCAGCCACTCCTTCTGCATTCCTGTAGGAATGCGTCAGCGATCCCATTCTTTCATTGGAACGGAATGACGAAGACACACTGTTGATCGCGATACAGAGTGCCAAGTCTCAAGAGCGCGGCCTCTTGCTCCCGAAGAACCTGAGCCTGAGCTTCGGGAGAGAGATTGGGAGTTGCACCTATGAGACTGGTTATAAGCAAAGCAATTCATTACTGAGTGTACCAGAAGATTCACGTCGTGAAAGTACATCTCTATAGATTTGTTCGGCCTTCTGAGAGGTCGTTGATGGTGTAGAGGCGAGTGCGAGGAGCTCTGCAGTTGTTTGCACCATAGAGGGAGACGCGTCGTTCAAGATGTTGTACCTTGTTGCTCTCACATCAGTCACCGGTCTTTTCGGATCGTCATACGGCCTTTTTTCGCGCTGCATCTTGAACAACGATGGGAAAAACACAAAAGAAACGCGCGATGAGGCGGCACAATCCTGTCCGGGTGCCTGACTCGCATCTTCCCCAAGGGCTTACATCTGCGGCGGAAAGCTCTTCGAAAACACAGGCAATCTTGCCGATTATGCAAAAGGTCTCTCAGCATACATTCTTTGCAGCGCGCTATATTGATTGAGTAGATGCAAGGCACAGATGCGGGAGAGAGAAAATGGGCTTGTGTTGCTGTATCCAATATCATCCAGAACGATCCGTCAACGCGGAGGTTGCTACAGGGTAAAAACATAGTCGGGGCACTTATAACACGCTTGACGGATAGTGAGGAGGAGGTTGTCATCGAGGCTATGGGTTCTCTCAGGTATGTTCCCTCCAACCTCGTATGCTAAGATCTCTCAAATTCTTTGTGCTCGGGTCAGAAATCTTGCCATCGACGGAGGATACGACATTTGCGCAGAAATGTACAATAAAAGTATCCTCGTTCCGCTCAAGACATTTGTGCCCAAGGTTTGTATCTCCGGTCGCTCTCTGTAGCTAGGCTCACTTATAGACATCAAGATCGCCGCCACTCTCGCTCAATTTTTAGAGCAAGGAGTAAAGCACGCACCAGAGAACGCGCAACGATTGATGTACGAATTTGCGGATAACGTGATCACCGTACTGTGGTGTCTTTCGTGAGACATTTTCTTGGACTTTGGTGCGATTCTGACCCATCTAAGAGAGACATCGAATAAAGCCTTGAATGCTATCAACGAGATGAAGCTGGCTTCTTTCCTCATGTCCTTCTTGGCCGTCCGCGACAAAATGCCACTAGCTACAATCACGGCTGCAGGTCTGTCAACTCCACAAAGTGTTTCAATCATCACTCTGAACTATCAAGCCCAATGCCTTTATGTCATCACTGACGACAACTATGCCGCCATTAGCGACGTCCGGTCTGATGGGGGGTACATCTCATGCCTGATGTCCATCGTTACCTCCGAAGGCCTGAGGTCGGACCCCGGCCAAACAGCGGATCCTAGGATAATCATGTTGCGTGTGCTGGCATCTGGTGGGAATCAAATCGTCGAAAAGATACAGGTCATAATTTACAGTTGCAAGGCATCTTGGGAAACGTATCACCCATAACGCCGCCCTCTGCCGCCTCTGCCCTTGATATCGACAGGGATGTTATCCTACCACAGCTTTTGCCGGTTATTTCTTCACTTTCCCTAAGCGAAGTCTCAAGATCTGCCCTACAATTGATCGAAGAACAGGTCAATATTGAAACATGTGTTGGTTTGATCTAATATATCTGCGCAGTCGACTGTCCCTTCAATCGACAAACTCTCTCTGAAGAAATCGCCCAAAACCGATCACAAGTCTGCATCCGAAGTTGAATTAGATCGTCTCGAAGGACAGTTGCGCACGGTGCAGCTCGCTTTGGAGATTCTAACGGGTGTATCGGCGGCTCTCCCAGACCCCGAGTCTGTGGAGGGCGTCGATGATGAGCTCGAGAATGAGGTTGTAATCGAAGACGAAGAAACTGTCGACGAGGATATAGCTATGGATGTCGTCCCGGACGAGGTGGAAAGGGCCACACAATCCCTGCCCCAGATCGTGGAACCACTGCTAGCGTTGATTCAACCGACAACATTGTCCTTTCCTCCCCATGCTTCTCCGTCACCTCATCCTCCAACTACCTCCGCTATGAGTGCTGTCCACATCGCTGCCCTCGAATGTCTGAATAACATATTTCTCTCGCTGGCGCGCCATGACACTGTCATAGAGATTGATGCCGGTCGGACGGTTTGGAATGCCGTTTGGTCGTCCTTGGCAGCGGTCGGCACTCAGATTGTTCTCGGTCAGGAAAGGCGGCAAGCGATGTGGGAAGTCGCCGCTGGAGTCCTCTGGGGTGTAGCTAGTGTCTGCAAGGGGAAACTGGTGGGTCCGTTGTTCCTGTCCTTGCGGCCTGGCCTATTTCTGAACTCAGGAACCTGACGAGGGTCAAGTGCAGGCGCTGATGGCACTCTGCGACAGCGCTGGATCAGATGCTCAGTTACGGGTCAAATGCATTGGGACACTTGAGTGTCTAGCCCGGAACACTGCTTTCATGGAGATCAATGCTACAATTGGGGGATATCTGTTATCTATGCTGCCCTCCATGACCGAACCTTCCCCGGCAGGCACAGAGCCTATGCTCCAGGCCGCATCGTCTATCATCGATATCTATTCTGATGAGGGCGCTCCATACGATGCCAACTTTCGTGCTGGCGGATACCTTGTGCGATTGACGGAGAGCGTGGATGGTTTAAAAAAGGCCGTGCGGGGAATTGATCGGAAGAAGGAGTTGCAGCTGAGGAGGAGGGGGGAAGAGGTCCGGGATAATCTTGTGGCATTCATCCAATATCGAAAAAAGCTGAAGCTGTAGTTCTCTCAGTGTTTCTGTTTCCAAGACTGATTTCATCAGTGACGTCGCTAAGAAATCTGATGGCCGTAGTCTGCTACTCTGGAATGTGTCAGTTGTCACATTCAAGCGTCAACGGTCACTCTCCCCGACCACGACGCCCATACCACCTTTCCCGGCTTCGCTGTCCATCTCATTGTTCTCTTTTCTTCTTTCCTTTGACTTTTTCTTTTTGAATTCTCTCGCCTGTGCTTCCTGCTCGAATGAATTTCTTCAAGACTAAGCAACGAACACCGCCTGATCTGGTCCGCTCTCTGCGCGATGCTATTCCCCGTCTTGAGCAGGGTGTACCTGGAAGCGAGTCTCGGAGGAAGGTTCGTAGACTATCTTATCTCCCAATCGCGTGTGAAATACTTGGGGATGGGTTTAACCCCTCGCATCCTCTACTTACTGCCGCTCAGGCAAATGAGGATATCTCGAAGAACCTCCAACACGTCAAATCTATACTATATGGCGATGGGGGTGCGCGAAGTACCCCGTCATTTTTATCTTCTAGTATCTTACATCAACTTTGAAGACCCTCTTCCAGAGCTGGTCGCGCAGTTGGCACAGGAGACATACTCGACAGACCTACTTCTCCATCTTGTTTCGAACATCCTTCGTTTCGAATTCGAGGCTCGCAAGGATGTTGTCCAGATCTTCAACAATCTTCTTCGCAGACAGATCGGCACCCGTTGGCCAACAGTCGAGTATATCACAAGCAAGCCAGACGTCATCTTTGCCGCCTTAGCTGGTTATGAAAACGAGGAAGTGGCGCTCAACACCGGGATGATCCTGAAAGAGATGTTGCGTCATGAACAGCTTAGCAAGATCCTGTTACACTCAGATCAGTGCGCATAGTGATATGCTCATATCGCATGAGGACTGACTTGCTCCCATCTGTCAGATTCTACAAGTTCCCCCACTACATAGAAACGACGACATTTGGAATTTCGTGTGATGCGTTTGCCAATTTCAAAGAAACGCTTACCCGTCACAAGCCGATGGTCGCTGAATACATCGACAAAAACTACGATCGGGTTAGTGCATTTGTCCGTCAGCCATCAGTCTGCTCAGAGATAATTTCCAGTTCTTCTCCTCATTCACCACACTCGTTCTGTCCGACAACTATGTCACCAAGCGACAGTCGCTCAAGCTTCTCGGGGAGATACTGCTTGACCGAGCTAACTTCAATGTTATGACCCGATACATCGCCAATGAGGCCAACTTGAAGATGATGATGAATCTCCTACGCCACAAGAGTAAGAACATTCAGTTCGAAGCATTTCACGTTTTCAAAGTGAATATCTCGCTCCGTTCTCCTGCTCGTTTCTCCTCATCTTGCATAGGTCTTTGTGGCCAATCCCAAGAAACCCCCGCAAATTGAGACAATCTTGCGGAGGAATAAGGAAAAGCTTCTTGTTTTCCTGAAAGGATTTCATAACGACAAAGAAGGTATGTCTACAGTCACCGAACGTGCCAACAAATTGTAATTCCAATATAGATGAGCAATTCAGCGATGAGAAACAGTTCCTCATTGTCCAAATCCAGGCTTTATGAGTCTTGATTTGTCTTGTCCGTTATCTGATACTGCTCTGCCATGGGCACCTAATTTGTACTATGTATCTCGCACATTGACAACATCTTGAGTGTTTTTTTGCACTTGTTGCCTGTATGGAACACTGGCACATTCACAAACAAATTACTGCCCTTTCGGAAAAGCTTGGCCGGAAAAGATTCTCGATGAATTGTAAAATTTGATGAAATGATATGATAAACCATATACAGACTTAGCTCTGGAATAGTAATCCTGATACAGTTGAAGGTGCAAGCCTGCTGCCTGCTTGCTCACATAGTTCACTGACATCATCACCTTTTCCCTTTCTCTCTTGAACTCCACTACAATATGTATTGCTCTCAAATACAGCTTGATTCAGATTCAGTTCCTGTCCTGATGATGCCCCTTTTCCCATTCACCTTTTTGGACTTAGTGTTTCTCACCTGGGTAGACCAGGTGAGCTTCCACTTTTTTTTATGAATCTTCAATAGACACTGTAGACACGTAACTTTTGATAAGCGGTTTTACTTCTGTAGATCAAAGGGTGTGTTCTTCCAGGGATAGTGAGCCGCACCTGCCACACCCATAAGTAAAGCTAGCCATTGCATGGCCACCCACCCACCTACTGAGATGAGGGCTAATCTATGACCTAGACTTGACGGACATGTCATCACATGTCATTTGACAAAGTCAATGCCTTTGCCTGCTCTGCCCTCTACCCGCAGTTGAAAGATGCAAAACCTTGCCCTGAGATCTGCCTCATCACCAAATAACAAACCTGCTGTTGATCAATTATCATCTGCCAGATGGATGTTGTGATACACATCTTATGACTCCATCACATGGCATCTAGAGTCATGCTGACTCATATCAATAGACACAAATAGCCCCCTGTATTGTATATAAGGAGGGCTCTATTACCCTGTAATCTAAGTCTCTTAACTATTTCCGCATAGTGCCCACACTAAGCTCTCACTCACACAGATGAGCTGCTAGATACTCTCCCCAGTGCTCAACAGGTTATGGGCCCCAAGAGCTATGTCTGCACCTCAGTGGCCGCAACATTGTATGCGCTGTCACTGGCTGCAACAATGAGCAGCATCTTTAGCCTATCTGTATTCACTTCAGCTGCTGCATAGTGCTGGTGAAACCATGCCAGATTGTGATTACATTGCTTGATCCAGATGCATTGATCTCTAAAGGAGATTATGATCTATGAGGATCTGATCATCTTGATCTTAGATTTTATCTGTCAGATTAGATTGATGCTGATCACTCACATAGATCTAACATGTCCAACTCTCTTCTGTCTTCTGTCACCATCTTTGATGGCAAAAACTGGACCTCATGGGACAGTCTTATGACCACCTTCCTGGAGTCTCAAGGCATTGCCTATGTCATTATGGAAACATGCCCTACTCGTCTTAGAGACGAAGATGGGAATGTGACCAACAATTCTAACGTTCAACAATGGAAGACCGACAATCTCAAGGCCAAAGGCAGCATTAAGTTGCACCTAACCAAGGTTGTTAGGGCTGACATTCCAGAATCAAATGGAAAAACTGCAGCCGGTATCTGGTCATACCTGACTGAACAATATAGCAGCACCAAGTCTGCAAACCTGTTTGCACTGTTCCAGTCAGTGATGAATGCCAAGTACAATGCCACCCTGCATCCAGATCCTCAGCTGCTGATTCCCAAAACCGCCTTCAAGTGTCTTGATGAGCAGGATTTGAAAATCCCTGAGTTTCTCAAGGTGATGATCATCCTCAATATTGCCCACATCTCCGTGGTGACCACGCATGTTCTTTTAAGGGCAACCTCAAGACCCAATCTCAGAGTTTTGGCAAGGGAGAAGCCAAAGGTGAATAAATGTGGTAGCTAGTGTTGATGTGTGGATTTTGTGTGTGCTTGGTTTGGACAAAGGGTGTGACATTACTCCGTGATGCATAGTATATAGCATCAGATCAATGTGACCTACTGGGCTTTTTGCCTTCCATCTGTGCCCCTAGCCTCCTGTGGCTCCTATCTGTGTTTTCTGTGTTCAACAGCTAGATACAAGATGTGACAATCAACAAGGAATAATGTCAAAAAGAGAAGTCAATTCAAAGACTGGAGAATACAACCAAGTAGCTACAGTATTTATACCCAAATCCAGTCTGAGTCATATCTACAACTAATGAGTCATAAAGGCTATGTACCGCATAGAGCACTGGTCATGCGTTGTAGTAGAACCTTCTGGAGCATGTGTCGTGCAGCCTCAAATCAATAAAGATGATCCCCTGGACCTCTAGCCCAGACCGTCAGATGCCGTGATCTGTGATAAGATAACCTGCACCAAGATAAGATAAGATCATTGATGATAAGATGAAAAAGTGGCCAAACTATGACATTACCCCCTCTCTTGGGTTGATGTCCTCATCAACTGGGCCAATGGGCATAAAGACATTTTTGTAAAGGTCAAAGAGTTGTTGTTGGGAATATGGAAGGTGCTCATCTCTGGGTTTGTAGCGGTGAATGAGATAGTCCCAATGTCCAGCTTTGAGCATGGGCAGGAGGCAAATGTGTGTGTCTGGGTTTGATTGTTTCCTCTGCCAGTCTCTCAGGACCTTCTTTGCGTGGGTAAGGTGACATGATGGTTCCCAGGTGTTCTCGCTATGCGGCCATCCCTTCCATTTGACCAAGTACTGCTTCCCTCGGCCAACTTTTCATTCCTTCACAATTTCTTCAACTTCCCACTCTTCTGCTCCTCCGATCATCTTGGCTACAGGTCTCTTTTCTCGGCAATAGAGGGGGGTGGTTCATGATAGAGTGTCAACAGTGACTTGTTGAACACTGGGTGTCTTTGGTCCATATCCGGCAAATCCAGCTTCCATGCAGCCGCTCTAATCTTCTCCAGTATCTCGTATGGCCCCAATCTCTTGTTGCTCATCTTCTTCGAAGGCCTGTCCGTCTTGATATTGTCCCCTTCTATGTACACCTTCATCCCAACCTCCAACTCCAGAACTTCTTTTCTTTGTTTATCGTAGTATTTTTTTATTTTTTCTCTTGCTTTTTCCAATGCTGCTTTTGCTTTGTCTTGTATTTCTTTGATTCTTTTTACAAACTCCTCTGCTGACTTGTTTCTTGATTCCATCTGCTACTCCACTCCCTTCCATAGGTGATATCCATAATTTGCATAGAACAGTCATATTTTGGTAGACATGTTCATTTTGTTGTTATATGCAACCTCTGCCATTCCCAGCCACTCCGACCAGTCCATCCAATGGTAATTGACGTAGATGCAGAGATAGTGCTCGATCTCCTGATTCATGCGCTCCATATGCCTATCCGTGATTGGTTGATATGCAGTCCCTGGATTAATTTCCATGCCCAACATCCCATTTGTCTATTTCATGAAGCTCTTGATATATTGTAAGTCCCTGTTGGTGATGATCTTGCAAGGGATCCTGTAATAGCGGAAGACTTGGTCCCTGGTTAACTGTGCTACCCCTTTGCTGCTAATGTCAGTACTAATTGGTTCGAAATGGATCATTTTGGTGAAGGTGTCACACCACACATGAATTGCGTCATACCTGTTACTGACCAGCAAGGGTCCAATTTGATCTATTGAGATGATTCCCCACAGCGCGTTTGGAACTACATGCAGGTGCACCGTCCTTGCTCTTCTGGTCTTGGTCCGTTGGCATGCCTCACACGTCTGAATGTATTTCCAAATTTGGTTTCCCATTCTAGGCCACCAGTAGTTCCTTTCCACCATCTCCTGCGTTTGGTTGATCCCAGCGTGTCCAACCAAAGGTGTGTTGTGGTGTAGCCCAATAATCTTGTCTGGTAGCTCCTTGTCCCTCAGAACATAGAGCTTCCCATGATACGTGATGAGCCCATATTCCTTTTCCCATCCAACGAGTGACTTCTCCAGGGCTGCCTTGATGCTTCCATCAATCAATTAAAGGGCCTTGATCTCATTGATCAGCTGCTGATCTTGCCCTTCAGATGTGACTTCTTGTGATTGGAAGAACTCGGGCTTCAGTAGCATGACATCCTTGTTGTTGTTCTTGCCCTGATCGTGATCTGCTCATTGTGATAAGAGGTCTGCTTTGCGGTTGAGAGCACCAGGTGGTGAAGTGTGGAAAGGATGTCTTGCTTGGTTCAGACAAAAGAGTGTTACGTAGCTATGTGACTATCAGTACATAGCCCTAGATCAATGTGACAGACTGGGCTTTTTGCCTCCCATCTGTGCCCCTAGCCTCTCGTGGCTCCCATCTGTGTTTTCTGTGTTCAACACCGGGCCGGTGTCATAAGGTGAAATTGAATTCTGCCAATTGTGTGATCCATTGTGCTTGTTGTCGGTTGAGCTTTTGTGGCTTCCGGAAGTACTCAAGGTTTTGATAATCGGTGAAGATCTTAAACGTTTCCATGGCTCCTAGTAGTAGCTACCTCCATGTTGAAGCAGGAAATGCAGAGAGGACTGGAGTCAACAGTAAGAAGCTCTGCATTGCAAGACAAGACAAGAAAAGAATCTACAGACCTGGAGTCCACAGTAGGAAGCTGAAGAACTCCAGGGAGGCAAGAACTATCTATGTGGATGGAGTATGTGACTTGAAGTCACGTGACCAGAATGATGGAATGATGGGAACAGTGATGGAATCAGATATCATCAGTGATGTGATCAGTGATAGGATCAGATGGAATCAGATGATCATGTGACCCAATCACCGGAGAGTGATCAAGTCCAAAACCCATCACCAACACTCCCCCGAGATGAGATCAGTCTCTCAGCCTCTCCCCCGCAATCTCATCAGTGTGCGCAACCTTGCTATCTGAGGCCGAGGCAGCGTCTTGGTCAGGATGTCAGCCAGCTGGTCCTGCGTCGGCACATACTTCACATCAATGAACCCTCTGGCCACTTCATCTCTGAGCCAGTAGTGTGCCAGGTCCAGATGCTTCATACACCCATGGTGTTCAGGATTCTTGGACACAGATATGGCAGACTGGTTGTCTATCATCAATAGAGAAGCCCCAGACACACCATGCTCTAGCTCATGCAGCAGATTGCGCATCTACTTGATCTCCTTCCCAGCATCCACACCAGCCACATACTCTGCCTCAGTAGTGGACAGAGAGATGGTGGACTGCAGCTTGCTTCTCCAGCT